CCTGACAAGGAAGGACGCGATGTCGGACGACGCGACATACACACAACTATGAAACTACCAGCTCTACGGAGTCAGTGATAGATGGCCCTAGTGTCACACGCGAGCAAATCGCCTGTTTGTGTCTTCATGCAGCTAAACGGAACACCTGAATGAGTCAGTATCTCAGGTAAGTCACGCTTCATTGAATACAGGTGAGAGACGCGCAGGTAGATATCAGTGACAACCAGTGCAGGTAAGCATGTAATGCGTTACACATTTTTTGATTTTATCTATAGATTGTTTCGTATAAATGAGAGGGGTTTATTGTTTTATGTGTTCATGGTTGTAATTGACCCACATTCCCAAGTGTACACGTAATGCGGATATGTTAAGGTCTGTAGTTCACTGACAACGTGTGACTCATGCGGTGTTAATGTTTAATGTGATTTTTAATGTGAAAAACGTGTCGATAGGTAGTGCTGTGTTTAACCAAGCATTAGCACGCTATTAGCCGGATTCGGCGCATATTGATTAACGTTTATAAAATTTAGTTCTCCTGAGATATAAACAAAAGTTACCTGTGGAAGACCTAAACACTGATATTAACCAATAACTGGTAAACAATGATACTGGTCGCACCATTATTACATGCATTTACCTCTCAGAAACGAAGAGTCATACAAACACATATGTGCATAGTTTGAATAATAATTTGGTTAACTTAACAAAGCACTGTTTCAAACGAAAACACACTATGTTGTCAGGTTTAAAACGATCCAGCAAGAGTGTAGCTATACCAATATGAAGTTGAAGGAATTGATATTCATGTGTTTGGCGGGTGGGTATTCACACAATGGTCGCCTCACAACATGTAAACATAGCAAACCCATAACAGGTCCCTTGTAGAGTGCCATACACACCAAGGGTGTGCTGTGAAAGGAATATAAACACTCAGGCCGAACATTGTGGCTGTAGGCTCAGTAAAGAGATCGGTGACATGACGATCACTCATGAACGTATCAATTCAGATTATTAAATCAAAAGAAATGAGAGAGCAAGAAAAAGTATGGTTAATGAATTAAAAATATGATTTTTGTGTAAGGTATCTGGTTATAGGAGGTTGTATTTACTTTGATAGCTAATCTAATTTCAAAACTAGCACACATTATAAAAACAAGGCAGGGATATGCTTTCAGTAAACAAGTATAAAATCCCTTGGTTCATTTCAGTGATTATGTCTAATTACTGAAGATTTCAGTAATTAGACATAACCACCGAGTGAATCAGTTATTAGACATAATCACTGAAATTTTCAGTCATTAGACTTAATCACTGATTATACTTGTTTCCTGTAACATATGCATGTACAAAGTAGCGTTTACAATATTTAATTAAATCATTGTCGTGAAGGGATAGTTTGTTTCATGATTGTTGGTCTGTTCATCGCACAACGGACTGTGCTTTTCGCAGAGTTTTCTTTACAATTATGGTAATGGTTTTAGCGCTTTTATTTACAGTTATGTACAAGGAGTGTTTGTTTTAGGCGAGGGGAGTGAAGATCACAGAGTTCCAGCCCAGAAGCAACCCAGGTGGGGGATTCCAGAGAATCGTACCCAATCAGCCATTGTCTTTGTCATTTGGATGAAATGATTTCCCTCTTGCCGCTACACGGACCGGGTACCATGCCCGTTCATGGTCTTGGAAACTCATCTAAGGGTATTGTATGACATATGTGTTAATACATACATGTAGCAATAGAGGGTGAATAGAAAAAGCGAAAAGTCAGATTTTAGGTTCTTTTCCAAAAAAAATGAATTGTCCCAGAAAAGCTTGAAAAAGAATTTATGGTTGAGACTGTTGAAAAGAAAAATGTCAGCTGCAAGAAAGACATTGCTGCAAGATGCTTTTTTAGAAAACAATATTTAGAATCATAGTTTTAATTAATCAAATATCTGGTTTTGTAACTGTGGCTGAAAAAGTGTCCAGAACTCAAAACAACCGCTACCAGTGCAATCGTTCTACTCAAATAAATACTTGCAGACTTCTCATAAGCTAAATTATATGGACAGTTTGTTTATTAAGGACTCACTTTCTCCTACTTCATGCAGATGTTTGCAAAAAAAAGAATGTTATCCATAAAGTTGGATGCTTTCTTATTAAGCCAGCAACTTCTAGAATGCCATTCAAACAGTTGATACAACTATATATATATATATATATATATATATATGTTGTTACAGATATGGCCACGACAGCACGAAGGTCCAGACACATCGGCTCTGTAGACAACTGGCAGAGTGGAAAGACAGTTGTGGAGTGTAACATGCACATGCTTACGTCAGGTGTGTCATGTGACGTCACCTTCCTTGTAGGCCACGATGGTCAGAGTGTCAGCGCCCATCGATTTGTCCTCATCAGTCGCAGCTGTGTGTTCGCCGCCATTTTGTCCGAGATCAACCGTGTTGACACCGACATGGCCATCCCTGACATTGAAGCGGATGATTTCCACACCTTCCTCGTGTAAGGAGCTGTCATTTAGACATTGTTATGTCGAACCTAATGTGACCAGGAAAATCGTTCTAATCATCACTTTGGACTTTCGTCACATTCTGTTCGAAATGGCAGAGTATATGTAATTATGTTTGGAACAGTGACTGGGTATTCAATGCAATAACCTCAAATGTAACCCCTCAACAAACTGCGATAAAACTGTGCCTGACAGTATTTATGTTTTGAGGTGAGGTGAAATGGGGATTAACGTCGCGTCCAAGATTATTGCACTTATATAGCAACGTGCATGTAGGTGTGTGTGTTTGTGTGGCTGCTTGTACTAGTCCGGACTGATGCCGTTATTAGTGCTAGCTCACTGAGATACGATGCCGCAGTTTAACATGAATACCCCACTCAGACACAGTATACTCCGAGCCGACCAGTCCTTGTTTTAGCCCATTAATGCCTAGCGCCAGATAGGATAACAACAAGTACCATCTTTTAACGTCTTTTGGTATGACGCGGTCGAGGATCGAACCCCGGACCTTCCGCTCTCCGGGCGGACGCTCTACCACTAGACCACGGAGGCGGCCATGTATGTTTTGAATGATTACAATGATCTATAAAATGCTCATGTTGGAATGCGTTAATAACGACGGGATGGTGGTCCTGCTCTTTAGTCAGGACTGAAATATTTATGCATGAGTGAATGAGTTAGGCTTGACGTCATTTTAACAGTACATATGATATGTAACGGCATGTCAGCTGAAAATTTGAGGAAAACAGTAGTGGGACAGGTTGTAGGCTATTAAGTCAAAACCCACGATCACAAGTATGCTGGTGATAGACCAATGATAAAAAACCGAGCTAACATGGCTTTCAAACCAAAGATCAGCGGATCATGACTAAGGGATGCAACTCAGTTTCACAGCGAATTGGATCACTTACACAGCCCAGTCCCTAATGCTTATGAGGAAAGATTATATAAATAATAATAATAAGCGTATACCTTTATGGCTTATTTCATAAATAATGCATGTAAAAATATTGTCTATCAGTAACTTCAGTTTCTCTCTTTTATTTCAGATACCTGTATACAAATGAGGCCGAGATCGACCCCAAGAATGCAACATCATTGTTGTATGCAGCCCGGAAGTATGGTGTCGGTGGCCTCGAGGACGAGTGCGTGGACTATCTCAAGGAACATCTCACTCCTCTGAACGCTTGTATGATTCTTGAAGCAGCATTCCAATCCAACCAAATGAAGTTGTACAGCAAGGCACTGAAGATGATCCATAGAAACGGCGAGGAGTGCCTAAAGACGCCGAGTTTCCTTGTTCTTAGTCACACCTGTGTTGACCAGATTGTACGCCCTGATGATTTGGTAGCTGAGGAGACTGATGTGTTTGAAGCTGTTGATAAGTGGGCGGAAGCTGAATGTAAACGTCAGGAGTTTGAGAGCACACCAAGAAATAAGAGACAGATTCTTGGTGATGTTCTCATGTGTGTTAGATTTCCACTAATGGAATCAAAATACTTTGTCGACACTGTTGGAGCAAGTGGATTACTTGCTGATGATGAGAGATTGAAAATATTTGTTCATAATTTATTTCCGGACAAGGATATAAAACCGTTTAACAAAGACGAAAGAAAAGGGCAACGTGGAAGTTCAAAAAGGAGCAATAAGACCAATGGTAGTATGAGTTATAGGGAGATGAGTTCTAGAGAACACCGAACACTTCCTAAGATAAATCATCCAAGACTTGGGAGCAGGACACACCGGGGGTTTGCTGGGAAGAGTCGCGAAGAAGAAAGGAACGATTTTGATGATAACAGTGAGACGGAAGACAGGCATGGAGGAAGCTTAAAGGAGCATAGAAGAAGTAAAAAGGAGCATCACAGAGAAGGTCGTCGGAAGAAAGGGAAGAGGAAGGTATGCAACAGGACGGAAAATAGATTCAGGGTTCAATCATTCGGGAGAAACTGTCGTGGTCGAGAATGGGAACCTTTGAAATTCCGATGTCGTGAGGAAATTGAGTTTTGCGGCTTTCTCATGTTTGGGCCTTGTGATGATGATGTCGCAACCTATGACGTAGAGGCTCACCTTACAGACGAGTTCAACGTTGAGATCGCTGGTTCCAATATTGCGTCCTCCTACAAGGCCAAAAAGGAAGATGTGATATTTGAAGTAATGTTCCCCTCACCGATCCATCTCGCGTCCCGAAAGTGGTATACGCTCAATATCTTGATCCGTGGCCCGCCATCCATGTACGGTTCCGATGCCAAAGAGCGCATGATCTCTCATGGCGTTACGTTCGAATTTCAGCAGGTGGAATCACGTGCAAACAGAAATGACCAATGCCAGGTTCCATACCTCTTGTTTACAAAAGTGTGAGGAGAGTCTGAAAAACTGACTTATGTAAATTTTATATTTTATATGTCACATTAAAATCCGATCGTATTACTCGCTACCGCCCACACAGATCTGAGGACATCGCATTAAAGGTCACGTCAGAACGGCTATTCATCCGACCAATCAGAGCGTCGCTTAATAGATTGGGAAATTAAAAATCTGAATGTGTTTTCTCCTCATGTTACCACGAAAAGGTTGACCCGAGGCATTCTGAACAACAGTAGGATAGTGAGAATAAGGTTTGACTTTAATGAAATACGTTTTTAGAATTGGTAAGTGTGGTTAACCTTCTACAGCCAGAGGAAAGACAGGTGGCCAAGTCGTCCCATAGACGTGCCCGAAATGCCAGATTCGTCCTGATTATGTTTCTAGGTTTGTCACCACCATACCCGTGCTCGTTGAGGATATGCCTCGATCTGTGTAGTGACGTCTCCGGGTTTAGATGCAAGGCATTAGTCTTAGGTAGAACAGAGTGGAACATCTGTCAGTCAGGACACCGACAGTCCAGCAAGCCTTCATTTCAACGTTGGACATCACGTATACTAATCTGGACGATAGCACTGTGTAAGTACGAAACCCAACCGTATCTCGATTTTGGTCCTAGATATATCACCACAAATCCCGTGCTCCTGCTTCCGACCAAGGTGGTACACGTCAAAGAGCTGATATGCCATGATAAAGTGAGAGGTTGTTCATAGCGGCATACAATACAATCCACTCACTCGTTGTGAACGATACCGTCTGGACTGTCAGCGGATACTATGAGATACCACACACATGCAAAAATATTTCTTGTGTATATGTTTAGATTATTTATAACTGTTATGGCTTAAATTGTGAACAGACTGTCACGTGTTTCATTGTGTCAATACTGTAAATGTTTAGATTGTGTCCAGATTGTCACATGTATCAATTGTAAACGTTTAGAATGTGCAAAAACTGTCATGTATATAGTTGCATCAAGACTGTAGATGTTTAGATTATATACAGACCCCGCCACGTGAGTCGATTGTATCTAGACGGGTGATATCTTTTACAGGAAATGAATACTGAGACTCTGTGATACCATTGATGTACAACATTGTACGACATACTCGCTGTGATACCTTTGATGTACACCATTGTACGACATACTCGCTGTGATACCATTGATGTACACCATTGTACGACATACTCGCTGTGATGCCTTTGATGTTCAACATTGTACGACATACTCGCTGTGATACCATTGATGTACACCATTGTACGACATACTCGCTGTGATACCATTGATGGTCAACATTGTACGACATACTCGCTGTGATACCATTGATGTACACCATTGTACGACATACTCGCTGTGATGCCATTGATGTTCAACATTGTACGAAATACTCGCTGTGATACCATTGATGTACGACATTAAATGACATGCTCGCTGTGATACTAGCGTTTAACGACATTGTTCTTTAGTGTTCGATATACCATATGAGTCGATGCACCTGTTGTGTCAACGGTATTACATGTAATGGGACCACATGCATAAAATGGAACTTGTTCTCCTATTCTCCTTTTTATTTTATTTTTTTGTCAGATAAGCACGGCTAACGAAATAAGCGAATATCCTGATTCTTATTTTATTGTATTATTATATTATGTATCATGTATTATAAGCCAAAAGCTCCAAAGAATTTTGATTTTCAAGTTCACCTTCTTGAGAGAAACAAGTTTTGCAAGTAAATATTAAACATTAGTTTAATATATCGACTATATTGAGACAATTTCTAGAGGCCATTTACTAGATGACTTCATTGCCAAAGTTGTTTGTGACCAACATGAAAATGCCGTTTAGCTTATAAAAAGATTTATCCAAATTACCTTTGCGATACAGGGTTCATGTGTAACGTCATTAGAAAGGACCCAACCCTTTAGGGGGTCGAACAATATGTTCCAACAAGTATACACAGTTCATTTCCACAAATCACAATTCTTGATAAGGTGTGACGATGAATCAATTATTAATCGAGTCTTCACCAGACAATACAGTAATTGGTATTATGAGCAACGATCCACGTTGTCGTACATTGACACGCCATCGTCCCTGAGCCTTCCCACCTGATCCCAAATGAATCTTTGCACACATGTTTACAAGGTATTAAAGTATTGTCTTTATTACCAACAGTTTTGTTTCGTCCTCCGTAATAGGGTATGCGATTATTTAATGCCGCATACTCCGTACTTCCGTGCTTTCTAGTAATTCTATATATTTCAAAGCACACGTTGCAACATCGGAAAATTACATGCTTCGATAATTCTACCTCAGTGGGTAATATTAGTTGTAGTGTCTGTTTGTCCTTTGTACCACTACTGGAAATAAAATTGATGGAAATGTATATATTAATAGGTTTGTTGCAAAGTCGGTCAGGAAAGATGCATACTATTAACATACATACATGCACACATAGTCACACCGACATTTTAGGACATTTGGTTCTTGTGTGACATAAACTTCAGGAAGTACGTATATGCATATGTATCTGTCAATCTAATAAACATCTGAGACCTGCATCCCTTCGGACTCCTCCCACATCAAGCTGACACGCCGTGATATTCACAAAAAAAACAACGAAACGCAAAAGAAGTGAAAAAGTAACTTTGGCAGACCATACAAATGAGTATTGTTTAACCAAGCGGCGTTTAACCAGACTCACTCACTCACTTTATCTAAACCACTACCGTGATTTATCACAAGAGTACTTTTCAACAGCAAATTTCAAACCACGCATTCTGCATTGAATGATTGATCGGTTCATTGTGCACACGCGCTCTAAACCCATTGGGTATCCCGGGCTGTTCCCGTAACTTTCCCTTTATAAATTTAAGGCATGAATGTCAGTGAGCGCTTGTAAAGCCGGTTGGAATTGTACAATGAATGAGCCCGTGATCTGACATATTTGCAATAAGCCTCACAAACTATACACGAGGATTATTGAATCGTCAGTGAAATGTCCATATCCAAGGCACATTTATCAATAGCCGTTATCTGTGTCAGTAATGTGTATATTTCTATTATGTTAGACAAAGGAAGCAGTGGCCACGAAGCTTGTAATTCAGTACTTCACACGAATGGAATTGAATTGCAGAAACTGTATGTGTATACATGTAAGCGATCAATAAAGTTATACATTGAGTCTTTTCACGTGTAATTTTTTTTATACTTAGGCATTTCAAGATTGGTGTATAAATATACTTATGCCAACCATTTTTTCCCAAAAAGATACAATGTGTACATTAAATGGGAACATAAGTAGTGCGTATGGCACACGGCCGGAGGTAGATGAGGACTGCTATCCGTAGATACTCCAGAAAAGACATGTGGTTGTGTCAGCTTTAGATCGTTACGACGACTCGGTTTCGATTCCACACATGTTTCCAAAGTATTCTCTCTATTCACTCTCACATTTATTAATTTCATTGTCCTAGCTTTAGTCGATATGAGTTCTGGTGCTGGTATGTACCTCAACGTTCAACGTAGGCCGCACAAATCGGTAGAGGGCAAACACAAGATTTTACCAACACCCACACACAATTCGTGTGCAATAAAATTTAGAGCATTTGTTGGAACATTTTTAGGGGACTCTTTTTTGGAGAGAAAAAAAAGATTAAAATGGTTACAACACTGGTTTATTCCCCTTTATATTCACCTGTGCCTGATAAAAAGTAGTTATTATGATATATACGACAGTGATCGTGTTGGTAGTGGTTACAGACGTGAGTAAGTCAGGGAGACATTCTGAAGGCACCTATTTTGAGACGGCCACACTGCGTCTAGGTGAATGGAGATCGTGAGCGTCGGTGTACTGCTGGTGAAAGGATCTCCCATCTATTCATTTGTCTACACTGGTTGTGAAGGCGTTTCACCTGACCTTGTCAACAAAATCAGCCGTCTCGTTACAACTGATTCTAATTCGGTCGCGGTTTTCATTTCAAACGAATCACCCTTTTCTTTTCGCATTTACATTGTTGAAATTCTTATTGTCTTGTATGCTGCTCGTATTCATATACAATTTAATGCTTGGATTTATTTGTCTTGGGGCGTTCACTTTGGACAAGAGTTAGTTTGATCTAAATGCCTTCCTTTGACACAAGCATGGTAGTGTTTGTAAAGAACGTCTGCAACACTGGTTTATGGAAATGCATATCACAATATATTTTAACCAAGCTTAACAATATCGGTATAATGCCGGCACGCCTTTTAGCATGGAAAGTTATGATAGAATCATTTTATTCTATTGTACCGCAGAGTGACTGCGAACTTGCTTGCAGGGTATTCAGGCATTCATTCCAGACAGTACACATTCCTTTGACCAACCTACACTTTATACAAAAGCACTGAGCGAGTGTTACGAAGTCTGAGTTGTATGGTGGGGTGACTATCGAGAAAGAATCGCTGTGTAAACGCTGTGTGAATATCCCCATATGAGATATTGACGTGGAAGGACACAGCAGAGGGGCGAACAAGGAAGGATACATGTACACGCCACATCGGAAAGAATGAAAGTAGGGATTTTACATTTAATCTGGATTATTTCTTTAATTTGGTTATCATGTTATGCCATGTTTCTTCATACGTAATCCTTATCTAACCTAAAGCAATCAGGTTTTCAGCAACCCATGCTTTTCGTAGGAGCGACTGTCGGGGCCAGGTGGTCAGCTTCGGTAATCATAGTGTCAATCACGGGATTGTCGGGTCTCGATTATGTACTTACAGTCATATAGATAAAACATTGCTGAGTGCTGTGTTAAACAACAAGCAATCAGACTAACGTTAGTGTCACGTTTGTACAGATGTTGATATCATTTGGGGGTCAGTGTTATTTGTGACAAAGTAGAAGCTGAACACCTTATATCACGAGAATGAACATTGTCATTTTCCGTACCAACTAGGAGATGTTTCACAAACGGTTGAAGTGGCTTCTTGCTGCAGTGGTGTTGCTAGTTCCATCGGCGTCGTGTCAAGAAAACGGTAAGCAATAGTTGTACTCATTGATATCTACCCGGGCCAGCTCTTTGTTTGTCGTAAGAAACGACGAAATCTGATCGGGTGGTCAGGATCGAGTATCATCATGATGTAGGCGGAATATTGCTAACAACAAACAAACAAACACAATGTCACTTCTACATGAGAAAAATCGGAATAGTAGTTTAACATCCTCTGTTACGTATGCTGTTATTGTTACATCTAAGGATGATGTAGCCAATTTGGATTTGAAATGGTTGATATTTTTTATATATAAGCGTATAAGTGCCACATTCTAAAACAAATGTCCCTATTCGTAGATGTTATTTACAGCTACGTAGATGATACTTACATCTACGCAGATGATACCACTCACATTTCTATGATATAATCTATGTAAAAGAAAGTATTATCTACTATCGAACAATACCACTATCTGAGTAACGATACTAACAATTATTATATCATATACTTAGATAAACGCATAAACTACGTAGATATAAGTATTATCTATGAAGGTGTAACTATGGTCTACGTAGATGTAAGTGTCATCCACGTAATTATAAATGATATAGTTTTTAAAATGTGGCACTTATACGCTTCCATATTATGAGACATTTCATTTATTTCAATAACGTTGCGGTCGGGTAGCCTAGTGGTTATGGCGTTCGTTCGTGACGCCGAAGACCCGGGTTCGATTCCCGACGTGGGTACAATGTGTGAAGCCCATTTCTAGTGTCCCCGCCTTGATATAGCTGGAATATTGCTAAACGCGGCGTAAAACCATACTCACTCATTTCAATAACTGATCAGGAGAGAACCGCCCTAACATTCAACCAGGAACATGTGATAACCCATTCCTAATAACCCATTCCTGATAACCCATTGTGTCAACACCACAGTCATAATACGTGGACTGGAAGACAGCGTTTATAACGTGGGAGACATCGGACACCTGCAGGTGCTGTTGAATCAGACAGTGGACGATCCAGGAGTATGGTACAAAGATGGCAAGGACGTTCGAGGCGTAACAGGCAAACTGCTGATACTGGATGCGCCCACAGCTCGCCAACTGGTCATCTACAACGTGCAGTACGGCGATTCCGGGAACTACACCCTCACTATCAATGGCGTAAACACTTCGGCAACAGTCACAATAGGAAGTGAGTAGAGAGCTGTCGAAATCATTGAAACAAAATGTATTTTATCCGTCATTTATTCCAGCTGATATTTATTTCTTTTGAGTGACGTCTGTATGAAGTTATTTCTATTTAGTTAATGATGTCTCTTTTCAATGCTCCACAAGATAAACTTTGGGATAAAGGATTTTATTCCTTTAAGCCAAATTAAGCCATATTCCAGTGACGGTGTATCACTGTATATGTGACCGTCAATCTGTAAACTTATGTAATTTACAACGCCTATAAATATCAGTTATTGTACAGGTTGATTGAGAAAGCTGTTCATTAATTTTATTATGATGACGAATTCCGAAATTGATGTTTAATTTCATCACCCAGTGACCGAAATTGATATGACTAAAAAGAAACGAAAGTCAATGTATATACTTCTAGTCCAAGCTTCATACGTCGATTGTGATTTTTAAGCCCTTTTGAACCTCTCAATAAATTTTATTTATTCAATCCGATCAATAAATAGACAGATATTTCAGTCAAGTTGTGATCAGTATACTGTGTCTAAGTGGGGTATCTATGTTGGCCTGCATCATGGAATCTCACTGGGTTAGTATTACAATATCGGCATTAGTCCGGGCAAGTACAAACACCCCCCCCCCCACCCCCCACCCCCCCCCACACACACACACACGTCGCTATATAAGTGCAACAATCATGAACGCGGCGCTAAATCCCATTTCCCCTCACCTCGCCCTGTAAGTTATCTTCATGTCTTCAACACCAACCTTATTTAATAACATTTCCCCTTATCACTCATCTTATATTTTACAGCTATCGACATCCTAATAGGTCTCCGTGACGTGAAGGTCGAAGTTGGCAAACAGATGTCGTTTCAGACAACCCTGTCTGCTTCAAATATTACGGAGGGCTACTGGACAAAGAACGGTGTTCCACTGACCAACTCGGTCAAATATGAAATCACTGTAAGCAATCAGGTGCAGCGGCTGACCATCACAAGCTTGACCACTGGTGACATAGGGACGTACACCTATTCGGTGCGAGGGAAAAACACATCAGCTAATCTTGATGTGGAGGCAAATCCAGGTAAGTTTATGTCTTGCATATGTGACATTTCCGTAATCATGATCATACGATCCTGGTTAGAATCCACAAATGTAGATCTCCAATAACCTACAGTCAATGTTATAACCTACAGTGTATATCCCAATTGCGGGGTCCCATTATGTCAATCTGGTTGTCTGTTCTAGACCCGATTAGTTTCAACCCGTCGTCATGTTACGGGAATATTGCAAAGTGCGACCTTTAACAAGAAACAAACAAACGTTCACATTTGAACTGATATAAAGGTCACCTGCCTAAATAATGTTGACCTACCTGCTGATCGTTTCATTTCTCTACTCTAGTGTTACGGATCCTGCAGAGATTGCAATCAATGACTGTTGCACCTGGTCAACCTCTTGAACTCCGGGTGACCCTGTCCCAGCCAAACGTATCACTTGGTACCTGGTACAGAAATGGGGTTCCTGTTTCGGAATCGGAAAACAGACAAATTTCCGTGAATGAAAATGTCCACCAACTTCTCATCACGAATGTCCAAGCAGCCAGAGATTCCGGAATTTATGTCTACATTGTTCGGCAACTGGTTACAGTTGCTAATATAGCGGTGCAGGGTATGTTCAAAATAACATAATTAGTCAAGTAGAGAATATATAAATTGTCAATAACCAGTCTAGATTAAACGTAAAAAACGATTCCACTTGGCCAAAAGGGCAAAAGAGCTGTGAAAACGATGTAAATGGACCACTGAAAGTGTGTGACGACACCGGGTGTTCGCGAAAAGGGTAAGCATGTCTTGCCCTACCATCACATAATCTGCATGAAAGCAAGTATTTACTGCCTGGTCATAAATCCTGTTTCTCATAACACCCTGACACTAAGTTTGGCTACTTTCTATTTGTCTCGGTATTTAAGATTCATAATGAAATATCAAAACAGAAAAGTTACAAAATAATTATAGTATTTAAGGGATACCAGAAATTTATGCTAACAAATGGACGTTTCTAACTTTGCCTTTTAGGCCCAATGGATTTGGTTCGGAATAAAATTATTCTCTGGAATTGACGTTTTATATTTTAAACTCAACTATATCGTCCTCATTTTGCTACAGATTATTGTGCATGTGTTAGTCTGTGTTGTTAAATTCAAGACGTATGATTTCATTTGCTTCTAATGAAATACTGAGATATTTTATGCTGATTATATTATATAACATATGAACTGAAATTAAGACATCTTCATGATCATGATCACATTGAACCATAAAAGAAGGAGAAAGAGTATTAAATTTCACTGTCGAGCCTTCTTTCTTCCTTCGGGTTTAAGTTCTAAACGCAATGCTATACAGAGTACAATTGTAGGTGTACATAATATATTGTCATATATCGCGTCTTTCCACAGAAATTAACATTCTGACAAACCTTGAGGACTTCACAGCAACCCTTGGGAGCACCGTCTCCTTCACATGCAGGCTGTCTGAAAGTGGTGTCGACGTTGGTGTCTGGCGGAAAGACGGGAAGACCTTGTCTAGTGATGGTAGGATAACTATAACAACACTTGGGCAAGATCAGGTGCTTACCATCAGGACCGTCCAGTCGACAGACGCCGGCTTGTATCGATACACCATCGGCAGCAAGGAAACATCGGCACTCCTGAACATCGCAAATGGTAAAACGTCACCATGAGTTACTAGCATTCAATGCATTCGTCTTAAATAACTTTATATTATCCACAACATGCAAGTGTACACTGATCAACTGTTCCTCATTCCAATCATCGATGGTACACCCGTAATGCATTATCTTGCCCAATCATTTGTGTATTGCAAACACGTCGTCATATTAGTAAAGGTAAATATAAAACGTCAAAGAAAGAGAACAATCAGTAAAATATACAGGTATGATAACTACATCAAGATCGGATATAATTACTGGGACTTTGTTTGCAGATGCAATTGCCTTTACCGCTTGCTTGGTCATTGATGGGTCGGAAAGTGTTCAGGAAGCCAACTTTCTCATAATGAAAAATCTGATGAAGTCGTACATCAGTCGTACCTCCACTGCCAACAATCAGTCCAGAGCTGGCGTTGTTGTGTTCAGTGATTCTGTGACAAGCATCCCAATAAGTGCCAATCTCTCAGCCCTCACCCGTCAGATAGATGCACTGGCCTACCCAGGACAGGGGACATCCACGCACCTGGGCATCGACCAAGCGAGACAGATGCTGCTGCAGGACTCCACACTGAACCCAAAGATCATGATAGTTGTTACAGATGGCGCCTCCGACAATGAAGTAGAAACACGTACAGCCGCACAGCGTGCCAAGGATGCTGGGATAACTATTTTTGCTGTAGGAATCACAGAATTTGTGTCATCATCCGCATCATTATTAGCAAAACTGGAAGAAGAAATATCAACTATAATTAACAGCAATTCCAACAAAATCAGTCTCCCAACATTCTCCAACCTAACTGGCATAACTTCTGAGACTCTCTACGGGATTTTTCAGAATTTTGTGGGTAAGTTGCGTGGTTCTAGATAAATATATTATTCACAAGGGAGATATTTCTTTGGTGATGACTACAACAGTGAAGGTTCTCATGTTTTAGTTGCAAAATGAGCACGGTTCTGTAACTGCTATACATTGTTATTGTATGTCTATTATTAATCCTGTTCCCGAATAACTCTTGTATGTAAATGGTAAGATTTAGGAATTGCGTACATCAATAAAACATCATTTGTAATAGCTGAGTGACTGAATGGGTGAGTTGTGTTTACAGCTGCTTTGAACAGTATTCCGATAATATCATGGTGTGTCACCTTATGTAGAAGTAAAGCCCGAAAAGATGCAGTTCTCAGACGTTTACCACTTTGGTAAGACCCAAGAGTGCGGTTATGGTGCTGACAACCCTGGAACCATAATCAGGGCAGAACCGGGATTCGAAGCTACGACCATAGGTTTCTTGTGTGTCTAAGGGACGCAACACTGGCACCCTATTGTATTACAATGCTGGATCATATTACAAGAAACCAACCACTATCGAAAACATATATCCAAGTATTCCATGATTCCTACGTTATCCGAAGAGTATATTTCCATGTCAGCAAATAATAAAAGCAAACTGTAATGGTTGTTTCAGCTGGAATATCAATCACCCAAGAAATGGTGTCTCAGACAGCACTGACAGGCTCACTGGTATCCTTGACAGTGAGAGTCAACAGATTAGATGTGACTTTGGGTGTCTGGAGTAAAAATGGTCTGCCCCTCGTGTTGGGTCAGAAGTACAAGAAGTCTGTGTCGTCCTACCTTCAGAAGCTTGATATTATCAGTGCAGACCTTGATTCTGCTGGATTGTACACTTTCACCGTTGGGAAGCAGAGTTCATCAGCATCAGTTACACTCTTTGGTCAGTATCCTGACATAGTGACATAGAGGTGTTATGCCGCTTTCAGCTATATCCCAGTCAAATCACAACCGGGTACATCTAGAAAGTTTGATCAACGCTGCACTCAGCATTATTCCTACCATATTACGGCGGTTGGGTTACGGCTTCTTATAAGAGACGACTAAATCGGTCGATGACTTGGTTGATGTATTTCATCGTTTTCCATTTGCCTGGCATAAACTCGATTAATTAAAAGACCGGTGTCATAAAACTAATTGCCGAGAATATTGCTGAGAGCAGCAATAAACAACAAACAAACACACAGACATATCACGGTTGGGTACAACTATAATGTGTTTTGTAGTTTAACGTCACGTTCAGACCACTGTCAAACAACTGGAATATTGCTGAGTGTGACGGGTGCCACCGGTGGGGCAGGATACGCTGACCTTTTCGGAAACATCTGGTATCACCACTATTGATAGTAATTCATGGACACCTTCTTATGAAACAGTAGGAATCGTAATATGGATTCTGCTTTTAGCACATAATTCTTATGATTATGGAAATCATACATTCAAACCAACCTAACCATTGTTTTGTTATAGATGCAGTAAATAATGTCACTACATACACCGGAGGGCAGGCTGTATTTAGAACTCACGTGGCTCCAGCAGGCGTTTCAAGCGGACAATGGTCAAGAAGCGGAGCAGCTTTGGCAAATTCCAGCAAATACACAATGACCAACAATGAGCTTGTGGACAAACAGTCACGGCAGCTGGCCATTAACACAGTACAAGTGTCAGACCAGGGATTCTACAGCTTCACTCTCAATGGAGTGGCCACACGGGGAAACCTTATAGTTACAGGTATGTATAAAATTCGCGTCAGTGAATCTTGCAGGACATAGAATGTAGATCATATACTTACCTTCTTTTTAAACAATTACTGTCATAACGACAAACACTGTTTTATCCTTAAAATAAATAAGCATATCTGAGTTCATGTAAAAGAAATAAAAACTACTTCAAAGATACATAATGATACAGAATACGAATTTAACGATGAATTAACTGCCAGGAAAGAGAAAGTATACGTATACTCTTGAAAATTGGATTAGATACATAATTTGCAAAGGTTAACAAAACGTTACTGGGCTGAAAACAGGAGAGAGACATGATGCTTTAATTCGGTACTTTTCTACTTGGCTCTGTAAGAGGTCCAGAAGTCACAGATATAAATTAGCTTGAGCAATACTCACATTATGTATGGTATTACATTATATTTTAACTTAGAAATGATACTGTTTGCTTTATCACAGATCGTAAGGCATCGGCCACATCCCGATGTATCATCCCTGGTTCTGTCTGTGGTTACACACAGCCACAACTCTATAGTAGCGTTATAAAGACCTAAGCATTCAACAGCTTTTATCTGTATCTGTATATACAGTCTGGCCTTAAAGCAGCATCCCCCCACACCCTAAAACAAAAGAGTGCAAAAAATAAAATGAAAATAAATTTGTAAAAGAGGACTGCCTTACCCAGTTCATTTTCCGAGTACAGGGAGCTGAACACCCCACCCAAATTCTGCACCAAGTGTAACTTGCTTGAAAATATCTGTTGTCACATTCAGCTTAGGACATCATGTTAACAAAGACAGCACTAAATATGGAAAAAATACATGGTCAGATTTTCTTATTTGATGGATGTAGACATAAAAAAACATAAGCATCTTGCACAAAATCATTGCTGCCTGCTGATTCAATCTGCACTTAAGGAAACGAAAAGAGCGTGTTAAACGATTTTGTGTAGTGGAACGCGTCAGTCGACTCAATGTTTTTATTCGGGTCCACTTCCGGTTGACAGCAGTGCGGTGGTAGCAGTGCATTCTCATAAATGAAGTCCGTCCCGTTGCATTTATTTGCGAATTTTGCAGGATTCGATGTTTCTCTACTCGTTGTAGAGTAGACATATCTTCGATGACAAGTTTATCATATCGAATCGGATTGCAGCACATTGTCTCCCCTTGCCAGTCTGTCTATCGCGCATTCCGAACAAGCGCCGTAAAATCTCATTTCACGCATACCGCTGTATCTTTTGTATTCGTCATATCTTGTCGGAATTGTTGAAGGATTAAAAGATTATCCTTTGATTGGACAAGTGTCACGATTATAGGTGATTGTTTCTGATGGTTTGCTGTTCAGACTATGTGCTTTGTCAATTACGACTGTCGAGGGATGAATAATCAGTTTCTCTTGCATTTCTCTTGCGGGGTTCTCACAGTCCAAACCAAACATAATTACGTTGTGACGTCAATGTTTGGCTTCACTGCGGTCTAATGATCCTTGTAGTTTATCTATTCGCAGTCGGAGGATTTTCAGTTGTCAGTTTTCCTCTCTCGTTTCAATGGATTCGTGGAAAGCTACCGTGAGGGTATCATACCTGTTGTTTAACGTTAAAAGCGAATTCTTTGTGAAACTTATTCCCTGTAATATCTTCATATCGGCTGTAGTTGGCTTAGAGAAAGTTACCCTTAGCGTTTTCAAAACACGTGCGCACCCTCTCACGCATGCGCAATCCAAATCACTTCAAACATAAGGCCCAAAACACAACTATGATACCCCTATTAATATAAGTAGTTGTCTTCGAATAACCATTTCTTGTTTATTTCATTTGTAGCTACCATCAAACATTGGTGTACATTTCCTTTAGTCCGGCAGTTAGGATCAGTACAAATACAGTAAGCCGAACATGTTAGGAAATTGAAAGGAGTCAATATATTTTGTTTGTATAGTTATGACACGATTCGTTGCGATTTCCATAGAAAACTAAACTAAACATCCTGATGGATAATGTAAATATTATCTTCATCTATGTCACTTATATCGAACTTAAGTCTCTTGAAAAGTGATAAAAGTAATTACGGTGTTTTTATTAATAACCGTGGGTGTTTATTATGTATCGTGTGTCTAGATCTGTTTGGTGTTTTTAGCTTTAAGGATTACCTCATTTTTGCAACCCCTAACTGTGACGGAGGGTTCTGCTACCAACCTTGAGACCACTCTGTCACTACCCGATATCGATACGGGTGTTTGGAGGAAGGACGGGGTTGAAATCGTCGGTTCTCAGAACATCCAGATATCCACTGAGGGAAGAACACAGCGCCTATTAATCACAGAGACAGGTCTGGATGCAGCAGGAGAATACTCCTATTCAATCAATGGTCTCCTCACCAGGGCGCAGGTCACTGTTGTGCCGACACGAGGTAGGTGCTATTGGCTATCACATAGAGATAATGTACAGTAAAGTCAGTGTATAATCAAACAGTCTGGATTACCACCCGAAACAGATTCCATTGGGCGTAACAGGCATAATAGTAATGAACAGTAAATGCATGGGTCTCTTAAAATCAGGGATGACCGGTGGGTCGGGGTGTCCTGCTCCACCGGTAGCACCCACCACTCACTATTTTCATTAAACAGTGCTTGTTTGTTGCCTAGTGCCCCAGCCAGATAATTTCTTCCAATCGACAGCAGCCTTAAACCAATCGGGTTTGGGCTACAGACATAGTCTGCACTTGCACGTATTGTCGGGTTGAATGACACTAGCGTAAGACTTCATAGCTTGTGTTCGTATGTGGAATCACACCCATCGATGACTCGTGAACAAACTTACCATCGCTCTATACAAAACATTATCCAGAAATCGCATCGTGTGATAGTTGATACCGTACAACATGTAAAATGTGTTAAATTGATCTCATTATCAGAAGTAAACTGTGTTAAAGTTACAACAAAACGTAACAGTGTCATGGCAGTAAACCTTATGCTTGTGTGGATATGAACTGCAAAAAACAAGTAGGATGATTGGTGTTTATTCTTCATTAGAAAAAGCGCCTTTAATGAGAGTTCAGAGATGTTTAGGTAAGGGAGAGAACCGAGTGATTGCTGCTACAACTGCATAATACTCTCAGATTATTCTTGTTGTAAAGCCATTTAATACGATATAATTGAAATATTTGACAATTTGTGAAACGTTAATTTTTATAATCAATTTCAATTGATATAATTTTCACAGATATTTTGGCCTTTACGTCAAATGGAATCTGTTTCGGCGGACAATCAAGACATTCTCTTTCATTGACAATACATATTCATGCATTACCACAGCTCGATAAACCAGCAGTTGAATTCATTCGGTATGATAAGGTTTTGCCATATGACGCGTTATTCATTTCTCATTCTGTTCATATAACCAGCCCGAGAAACCTATTGTGGGCTTCAATCGCGGTTCGCCGCCATTATATTTCTAGTTTTGTCAGCACCATACCTGTACTCGTGGGTTTCACCAAAGTGGAACACGTCTGAGACTTGCATCACCTCCCACATTAAGTTGACAGCCCGTGCTATAACTGGAATACTGTTTAAGACAGCTCTGAACCCAACTCACTCACTCACTCACTCAAGTAATCAAGGCGGCATGGTAGCCTAGATGTTTAAGTGCTGAACACCACAATGAAAACCCGTCCCTTGTATGGGTTCATTAGGTGAAGCCCAGTTTGGTTTGTAAGCAATGGAACTCGTAAACCAGACATTTTATCTGTTGGTCTGGCTGAACTGATGAAATGTAGAATTAAATGTAATTTCCTACCTATGATTTTAATCGTGTAATAGGAAAGTGCCTACACTACACGTGTTACCAAACTGACTACAATTGCTCAAGGGATATCTCCCTTTAACCAATTACTTCTACCTCTTAAGCAACGAAGCCCGCCTCCGTGGTCTTGTGGTAGAGTGTCCGCCCGGAGAGCGGAATATACGGGGTTCGATCCCCGGCCGCGTCATACCAAAAGACGTTAACATATGGTACTTGTTGTTACCTGGTATTCATGTTAAACTGCGGCACACACACACACATACACACACACACACACACACACACACACACACACACACACACACACACACACACACACACACACACACACACACACACACACACACACACGTGCATGCATGTCGCTGTATAAGTGCAATAAACGCTAAACCCAATTTCACCTCACCTCACCTTCAGCAACGAATATATTTCATGAATCTTCCAAACATTCTAAAGGTAAACACAATGACATACACAGCATTCCAAGTTAGTAATGGTTCTCAACAAACTTTCCTGGTCGTAAGGGTCAACGTAATGAACCGTGTGGTCAGACACGATGTCTTGGTAGCATGGCGTGTCAACAACCCCGACGGCCTGGACTGTTGCACACAATATCACTAACTGGAATGTCTGGTCTTGACACATTTATTTACAAGCCACTGCCATATAGCGAGAATATATCAGATTACAGTGTGGTACAAGGAACAGAAACAAACCCATAGTTCGTCCGTTCTATTCAAGATATTTTCTTGACCTTCTGTGTATATCAGCATTATTTCTCACACTACATTCCATTCTTAGTAAGTAATATATTTTTCACTTGATTGTTACACATGTTGACTAATGTGAATTTCTTCCGTGGTAATAATAATAATCTATTTTGTAACAGTTGATGGTAACGTGACGCAATGGACACAGTGGAATTACTCTCCCTGTTCAGCAACCTGCGGTCCAGGTCAGAGGAATGGGACAAGGAGCAGGACATGCACCAACCCAGCACCAGCATTTGGCGGGAGGAACTGTACTCAACCGCTGCTTTCTGAGGAAACTGTCATTTGTACTGACCGAAACTGTCCTGGTATGTATATTATGTTGTAACATATTGAGTATTACATGTTGTTCGTGGATATAGGCTAGAAATCTACTTGGAATGAATTGGTAAAAAAATAAATATTAGAAAATGGAAGTTCCACGTCACTGATATAAGCTTCCCTGATTCGGAGTGACATGATTTTTGCTGCCCCAACTCAAACTGTCCTGGTATGTATGTATGTATGTATGTATGTATGTATGTATGTATGTATGTATGTATGTATGTATGTATGTATGTATGTATGTATGTATGTATGTATGTAATATGGTATAACATGTTGAGTATTACGAGTAGCTCTTGGATATACGTCACGAATATGCATAACATGACTTTGTAAATTATAATACGTTGGAAAATGAAACATCTATGGCACTGATATAAACAGACCCTATTCTCTGTGACGTGGGAAATCATCAATACAGCCCTCATTATCGTAAATGGAGCTATGTTATATATAGATATTGCTATTGACACAGCAATACATACCCCAAAGACGCAAATGATCGTTGTGTTAACATTTGATCACTTACGATCAATAGAGGCTTCATAGTCCTGTCTAAATATGCCAATCCAGCATGTGGAGTGTGTATTTTATCTTCGAAATATTTTAAAATCTCAATATGGGAAAGAAGGGAATTCAAATGAAAAGAACATTATGCCAACGACACATGTTCGATTCCTTACGTCGGTACATTTGAAGTCGATTAACGATGCGCTACCTTGACAGGACTCTGCATTGCTTAAAATGGTGAAAACCCATACTTACTTATCCAATTAGATTATATGAACTGCAATGAACGTTAAATACCTTTACAATGAAAACCAATTATGAAATCAGAGATGCGACTTTTTCATCGCTTTGTTTGTAGATATACGTTGAAAACATTTCACATGCATTAGGGCACATCTATGTGGATATATTAATCTTTTTACACAGTCCAAATGGACCTCTAAAAATATATTCCTGACACGCGTAGTGAACGCAACTCTGTACAGCATATTGCGAAGGGTACCCACATTAGCAATGGTAATTTAATTGTGTAAGAATCACTGGAATTGAAAGAGAAGTTCAACCATTTCTGTTTAAATAATTGAATACACATGCGCACAATAATGAGAACTTGCGATAATGCAACAATAATGACAAAACTCCCGTGGGTATTCCTGGTTAGAATTGGTCCCAAGCAACCTTTGCTGGTCATGAGATGACTTAATGAAGGAGGGGAGTGGGTCAGGTTATTCCGACGTTGGGGAATTGCACACAATATAAATGATTGGATTGTGATGCCCAGACTCGAATATTTACAGGCCACTGCCATATATCTTGATATTGCAGAGTGCCATGTTAAACAAGAAATAAACGTGTCCATCACAAAACCCTAAGCCATCCGTTTAATTATTAATAGGAACTTTTACGAACCTAATACGTAAACATTTCTTTGTCATATTGTGTCAAAAATGTCATTAACATGTCTCACAAAAAAATTTGTTACACATGTTGAATACATTTTAAAATCTTATGAAATAATAATTGTGTATTGAGAAGATCGACAACCCTGCAGAGTCGGTTGGACTGAAAAGTGAAACAGAAGACTTTCTGTTTGCTGCTCAGGACCAGTCACTTCCCACTCAAAACCGTCAATGTGTGATTTTGCATCAAAATGTAAATGAGAAATGTAGATTATGCAATGAATGTAATGAGAATGTCCAACACATTGTCAGGGGATGTATCTTAAGTGACAAGATGAAGAGCTCGGTCCTTTTACTACTGTCTTCGTCATGCTTGTGGTTTTGACACCGAGGTCAATCTTGGTACGACCCAAAACATGTACAGTGCGATATGGAAAATGATAAATATATAATTCTTTTGAATAGGCCCGTATACAGCCTCAGACCTGTCCAGGCTGAGAAACCTGATCTTGTCCTTTTTGATAAATCCAAAGAAATCATTTATATTATTGAATTTTGTGTCCCTTTTCACTCTAATGTGATCGACAAGATTCAGGAAAAATACCTCATAATAACAATACAGTAGCTGCAATATCAAACAATTTGGACGACAGCGTGCGAGAAAATAGACCACATGCAGCACATACACAACTTAATTTAATCCGGATATTTTTACCATAATTCAATACTAAAATTGGTCGTAATAACAACCTTCTTACATTGATCACCTGCCTCGGTGGTTCAGTGGCAAAACAGTGTGTTACAATGCTAAACTTGATAAGTGAGGTTGCAGGTTCGATTCATGCCATAAAGTTACAGCTTCAGTTTGGATGAGATGTTCCATTCACTGACTCATGGGATTTTCATGTGTTCATAGTTTTTACTTTTAACCAGTCAAAACACGACATATGATTTGTAATTCAATCGTAAAACCCCAAGCAGGCCTTACAATTGAAATGTAAAACCTCTCAACAGTTCTCACTTGAAAGTGTGACCTTTCACAAGGCTACTGTGAGAAAAGGTGTTAATATAACTACAATACAATAGGCAAACGTTACTGTAGGTTTATAAAAGCAGTTTAATGTTTAAGGATACATGATAGTGTACCCGTGTCTTGACAGAAAACAGTATGCTTGTCTTGCAATTATTCCCCCAAAATGGTAGGATGATGATGATGTATTCTTCATTAGAAGGTACGGTAAGGTGTTTAGGTAAGGGAGATAAAGGTGTGATTCCTTTTTGCTAAATCATAGTCTCAGATTGTTCGCCATTTTTCAGCATTATCATGATGAAGTCTGGTTCGTACAATCGACTCTGCTTTCGAGAGATATTTCTTACGAATATATATATTTATTATTAAGGTTATTATTGTGATAATAAGAAAGATCGTAATGCGATTGAAATATTTAAAACATAAATTGATCATGACAGTCAATGGAGGATTCACCACCTGGACAAATTGGGCAGGTAGTGGGTGTAACCCAACCTGTGGATCAGGAGGAGTTCAAGTTGTCACCAGAAACAGAACTTGTACAAACCCGAGTCCAATGTTTGGAGGATCTGAGTGCGTTGGAGCTCCATTTCAGTCTATAATAAGAACTTGTGCAATTCCTGTCTGCCCAGGTAAGAACAACCTATTGTAGGGTGTTTTCCTTCTTTTCTACGGAATATTTTCAAATTTCGTTTTGTTTGGATAGCCTTGTTGCAAAAGCGTTCGCTCGTCTGAAGAATCGATTCCCCACATAGGTTGATAGTAAGAATAAAATTTACGGTGTTCCATCCTTGATATGACAAAGTATAGCTTAATGCTAAATAAAACCCTTAAGATGTTATCAACTGTAGCATAGGTTAAATCGAGTCTGTTTGAAAAACCGACAATTAAGATATGTCATCTAATTTCAAAAGAAATAATAAAAGACTTGTTACCATTTTGAGAATGTAACCCATGTTGTCATTGCTACTTTAATTGTTTAAGAATCTATACAAATGAAGAAAAGTATAAACATTTCTGTACATTGATAAGAAAACATACCATTTAATTGATAACAACTTTTTTATTTTTTGCATTTAGCGATCTTGAAATGTGGATTCTTATCCCTTTTTCAAGCTAGATCGAACAGTTATTTCTGTGCATTCATAGTACAATTCACTTACTTCACGTGCGCAATGATTATGTCGCATTGTCGAGTTCTACTTTTGAAAGTTTGTAAATGTCGTTCAAAACTACTTATTCACTCGTGTAGCTGTAACTCTGCTCCTTGCCCCAGTAAGTGTGTTAGTGTTTCCATACACATTTTCCAACTGCAGTTACCAAACTGACTACAATTGCTCAAGGGATATCTCCCTTTAACCAATTACTTCTACCTCTTAAGCAACGAAGCCCGCCTCTGTGGTCTTGTGGTAGAGTGTCCGCCCGGAGAGCGGACTATACCGGGTTTCGATCCCCGGCCGCGTCATACCTAAAAACGTAAAAAGATGGAACTTGTTGTTACCTGTCTGGCACTCGGCATTAAGGGGCTAAAACAAGGACTGGTCGGCTCAGAGTCAGTATACTGTAACCTTAGGTTCCGGGTACTTTACCCTTCTACCTATGGTCACTTGTCCTTATCAACTACTCCTTGGTTCTAGGGATGATGAAGCTCTCTCAAAATCACAAGTCAGATGGTTTGCTCCAGTCCTTTTTATTTATGATAGAATTAATCATAAATATGCACACATGGTCCTCAGATATGTTCTTGTTGTTGCCTGATATAAATACAACACATACCTAGATGATGCTTTGAAAGGCCTGATGGTTTTTCTGATGAACGTTTAACTCTATTTCATTTCTGACTCGGGATCCCAAAACCACAGTGAACCTTTCTGTTCAGCTGTATGCTCCCGACTCCCCGCACCACTCTCGGACAACTCCCAAAATACTATCGGTGATGATTTTAGCTCCTCCCACCAAAATCATATTTGACATCATGAAAAATGAGTCATAATGGTCATTCCTCTAATGAACCCCAATTTCCATTGTAATTAGTTTTACCATCAAATACTCTTCTCGACTGGAAGGCACCGAAAAGATACTTAATCATGTTATTTTGACATTCTAATCAAGCAGTAATACTCAGAAATATTTGATCACCACAAGACTAACAATTTTGTTCCATCCATTTATCTCCCGTCTGACATTTTTATTGCAAGACCAATTCTACTAATTCATTGTACTAATGAAAGGTAAACTCTATCACTTAAGAGAAGCAAAACCAATCATCACTCGCCCTAGGGGTAATGCCCTCACCCTGCACAATCACTTCTCTCATATGCGTCTATATTTTACCCAAAAGCTTAATTTTGTAAACTATATTTTAAGTAAATACCAAAACCCCTTTTTCTAAAATACCCTGGTTATAATACTGTGCCTGAGTGGGGAATTCATATTAAACTACGGCATGGTATCTCAGTGAACTAGCACCATAAATCGGCATCAGTCCGGACTAAAACACACACACACACACACGCGCGCGCGCGCACACACACACACACACACACACACACACACACACACACACACACACACACACACACACACACACACACACACACACACACACACACACACACACACGTGTGCATGCATGTCGCTGTATAAGTGCAATAAACGCTAAGCCCAATTTCACTTCACCTCACCTTCAGCAACGAATATATTTCATGAAACTGCCAAACATTCTAAAGGTAAACACAATGGCATACACAAAGCGTAATTCGTGGCTGTAGTGCTCTAAGACAGGTTCGGGTGAATTCATATGAACTCATTCATTTGAGTATGTTCTCCAGATTTAGAACATTTTTTCTGTTCTTGTAGACAATATATGTCGGAGCCATCAAGGAACGTATTTTGTCCTACCAGTATTTTGACAAGTCATCAACTGTTGACGTTGGAGTGTGACTCGTTGGTTTGGAAGCTACATTTGTCACATCCGTAACGATTGTTGGTTTTTATTGGAATATTAAGTGACATTATACATGGATGTGTATTGCTTTACTCGATTTATTGTTACAGTCAATGGAGGGTTTACCATCTGGACCAATTGGGCAGGTAGTGGGTGTAACCCAACCTGTGGACCAGGAGGAGTTCAACTTTTCACCAGAACCAGAACTTGCACAAACCCGAGACCAACGTCTGGAGGGTCTGACTGCGTTGGACCTCAATTTCAGTCTACAATAACGGCATGTGTTGTTCCAGCCTGCCCAGGTAAGTGGAATAAAATATTACTCACTCATCTAATCAGATTTCATGAACTGTAAAATACAAGAGATCAAATCACATGCCAATCATAATCGCGTAACGAAATCCATATTCGGTTCAAAAACAACATGGCGGCTGCAGTACAGATTCCAGTCGATTGCAAGATTTGCAGAGCATGTGTACCGCCCCCTTATCCGCGGACAGATGTTTTCCAAATTTTATCATGTTTTTAGTCAATGTGTTGAAGTGATTTGATGTACTCTGCGTGGCCAGGCCCGTTTTATAATTACTGCCACACAGATCTTGATGATCTATCAGATCATCTTAAGTGGGCGCCGCAGTTTTGTTTGACGCAAATGCAAGTGACATGAGAGGTGGAATCGTATTGGTCAATAGGAGGGACATAGAAAGAGCATAACTCGTAATCATCAATGGTGGCGCTACAATCGAGACACGAAATTCCAGACTAGTCGCAATGGTAACACATGCACACATGCATATCCAATTTTATATTCCATCAAGCTTGGTGAATCCAGCTCTGTTCAGCAAACCTTATGCAACCTTATGAAATTTGATAGTTGTTGGATAATAGGATTACAGATTAAATGAGTGAGTGAGTGAGTATGGTTTTACGCCGCTTTTAGCAATATTCCAGCAATATCACTGCGGGGGACACCAGAAATGGGCTTCACACATTGTACCCATGTCGGGAATCGAACCCGGGTCTTCGGCGTGACGAGCGAACGCTTTAACCACTAGGCTACCCGACCGCCCCACTTTTTAAATGAATCATTGCAATTGAAAAGGAGTCTAAACATGTCTATGCACAAATAAGAAAACATAATCTTTATGAGCTTATTATCATTGTAGTAGAACGCAAAGTATGTCACCCTTCTATGATAACCCACGTTTGAGTTCCAGGTTGGTAATGGTTCTCAGCAATCTTTCCTGGTCGTAAGGGTCAACGTAATGAAACGTGTGGTCAGACTCGATGACTTGGTAGCATGGCGTGTCAACAACCCCGACGGCCTGGACTGTTGCACACAATATCACTAACTGGAATGTCTGGTCTTGACACATTTATTTACAAGCCACTGCCGTATAGCGAGAATATATCAGATTACAGTGTGGTACAAGGAACAGAAACAAACCCATAGTTCGTCCGTTCTATTCAAGATATGATATTTTCTTGACCTTCTGTGTATATCAGCATTATTTCTCACTCTACGTTCTATTCCTAGTAAGTAATATATTTTTCACTTGATTGTTACACATGTTGATTAATGTGAATTTCTTCCGTGGTAACAATAATAATCTATTTTGTAACAGTTGATGGTAACGTGACGCAATGGACACAGTGGAATTACTCTTCCTGTTCAGCAACCTGCGGTCCAGGTCAGAGGAATGGGACAAGAAGCAGGACATGCACCAACCCAGCACCTGCATTTGGCGGGAGGAACTGTACTCAACCGCTGCTTTCTGAGGAAACTGTCAATTGTACTGACCGAAACTGTCCTGGTATGTATATTATGTTGTAACATATTGAGTATTACGTGTTGTTCGTGAATATAGGCTAGAAACCTACTTGGAATTAGTAAAAAAATAAATATTAGAAAATGGAAGTTCCACGTCACTGATATTAGCTTCCCTGATTCGGAGTGACATGATTTTTGTAGAAAGCGTCAGCTGCCCAAACTCAAACTGTCCTGGTATGTATGTATGTACTATGGTATAACATGCTAAGTATTACGAGTAGCTCTTGGATATACGTCACGAATATGGATAACATAAATTTGTAAAATATTATACGTTGGAAAATGAAACATCTATGGCACTGATATAAACAGACCCTTTTCTATGTGACGTGGGAAATCATCAATACAGCCCTCATTATCGTAAATGGAGCTATGTTATATATAGATATTGCTATTGACACAGCAATGCATACCCCAAAGACGCAAATGATCGTTGTGTTAACATTTGTTCACTTATGATCAATAGAGGCTTCATAGTCCTGTCTAAATAGACCAATCCAGCATGTGGAGTATGTATTTTGTCTTCGAAATATTTTAAAATCTCATTTTGGGAAAGAATGGGATCCAAGTGAAAAGAACGTTACGCCAACGACACATGTTCGATTCCTTACGTCTGTACATTTGAAGTTCATTAATGATGTGCCTACCTTGATAGACCTTTACATTGAAAACCAATTATGAATCAGAGATGCGACTTTTTCATCACTTTGTTTGTAGATATACGATGAAAACATTTCACATGCATTAGGGCACATCTATGTGGATATATAAATATTTTTACACAGTCCAAATGGACCTCTAAAAATATATTCCTGACACGCGTAGTGAACGCAACTCTGTACAAAACATTGCGTCACCAAAGATGACAGGGCTAACCGTGGCGGTTGGGGAAATAGCCACACATAGTTCGTTTCTTGCTGCCAGTTCAGTTTTATTTCTCTGAAAAACCACCAACAGTGGTACAAGAGTATATATATATATATATGCAGATCAAGATGGTAACAAGCCTAAAGTAAAACAAATAAAAAAATAAAAATTAAGCAATTAAAATAATAATAATAATGATAATAATAATAATAATAATAAAAAGAAATAAAATTACACACTTTAACGCAATAATGAGTTCAAAAGTACGATGAATCTGGACAGATGTTTCAAAGTGGATATACACGTTGGGGTATGAAAATGATACCAACAATTAAAGTGTGTGAACTAATTTCAAAAGAAACTATCAAAGATTTGCCTTTATGTTGCGAAGGGTACCCACATTAGCAAAGGTAATTTAATTGTGTAAGAATCACTGGAATTGAAAGAGAACCATTTCTGTTTAAATAATTGAATACACATGCGCACAATAATGAGAACTTGGGATAATGCAACAATAATGACAAAACTCCCGTGGGTATTCCTGGTTAGTATGGTCCCAAGCAACCTTTGCTGGTCATGAGATGACTTAATGAAGGAGGGGAGGGGGTCAGGTTATTCCGACGTTGGGGAATTGCACACAATATAAATGATTGGATTGTGATGCCCAGACTCGAATATTTACAAGCCGCTTCCATACATCTTGATATTGCAGTGTGCCATGTTAAACAAGAAATAAACGTGTCCATCACAAAACCCTAAGCCATCCGTTTAATTATTAATAGGAACTTTTACGAACCTAATACGTAAACATTTCTTTGTCATATTGTGTCAAAAATGTCATTAACATGTCTCACAAATGTTTATGTTACACATGTTGAATACATTTTAAAATCTTATGAAATAATAATTGTGTGTTGAGAAGATCGACAACCCTGCAGAGTCGGTTGGACTGAAAAGTGAAACAGATGACTTTCTGTTTGCTGCTCAGGACCAGTCACTTCCCACTCAAAACCGTCAATGAGTGATATTGCATCAAAATGTAAATAAGAAATGTAGATTATGCAATGAATGTAATGAGAATGTCCAACACATTGTCAGTGGATGTATCTTAAGGGACATGATGAAGAGCTCGATCCTTTTACTACAGTCTTCGTCATTCTTGTGGTTTTGACACCGAGGTCCATCTTGGTACGACCCAAAACATGTACAGTGCGATATGGAAAATGATAAATGTAAAATTCTTTGGAATAGGCCCGTATACAGCCTCAGACCTATCCAGGCTGAGGAACCTAAACTTGTCCTTTTTGATCAATCCAAAGAAATCATTTATATTATTGAATTTTGTGTCCCTTTTGACTCTAATGTGATCGACAAGATTCAGGAAAAATTCTTGATACCTCATAATAACAATACAGTAGCTGCAATATAAAACGATTTGGACGACAGCGTGCGAGAAAATAGACCACATGCAGCACATACAGAACTTAATTTAATCCTGATATTTTTACCATATTTCAATACTAAAATTGGTCGTAATAACAACATTCTTAGATTGATCACCTGCCTCGGTGGTTCAGTGGCAAAAGAGTGTGTTACAATGCTAAACTTGATAAGTGAGGTTGCAGGTTACAGCTTCAGTTTGGATGCGATGTTCCATTCACTGACTCATGTGATTTTCATGTGTTCATAGTTTTTACTTTTAACCAGTCAAAATACGACATATGATTTGTAATTCAATCGTAAAACCCCAAAGCAGGCCTAACAATTCAAATGTAAAACCTCTCAACAGTTCTCACTTGAAAGTGATACCTTTCACAAGGCTACCGTGAGAAAAGGTGTTACCTACAATACAATAGGCAAACGTTGCTGTAGGCTTATAAAAGCAGTTTAATGTGTTAAGGATACATGATAATGTACACGTGTCTTGACAGTAAACAGTATGCTTTTCTTGCAATTATTTCACCAAAATAGTAGGATGATGATGATGTATTCTTCATTAGAAGGTACGGTAAGGTGTTTAGGTAAGGTAGATAAAGGAGTGATTCCTGTTTGCTAAATCATAGTATCAGATTGTTCGCCATTTTTCAGCATTATCATGATGAAGTCTGGTTCGTACAATCGACTCTGCTTTCGGGAGAGGTTTCTTATGAATATATATATTTATCATTAAGGGTTATTATTGTGTTAATAATAAAGATCGTAATGCGATTGAAATATTAAAGACATAAATTGATCATGACAGTCAATGGAGGATTCACAACCTGGACAAATTGGGCAGGTAGTGGGTGTAACCCAACCTGTGGATCAGGAGGAGTTCAAGTTGTCACCAGAAACAGAACTTGTACAAACCCGAGTCCAATGTTTGGAGGATCTGAGTGCGTTGGAGCTCCATTTCAGTCTATAATAAGGACTTGTGCAATTCCTGTCTGCCCAGGTAAGAACAACCTATTGTAGGGTGTTTTCTTTCTTTTCTACGGAATATTTTCAAATTTTGTTGTGTTTGGATAGCCTTGTTGCAAAAGCGTTCGCTCGTCTGAAGAATCGATTCCCCACATAGGTTGATAGTAAGAATAAAATTTACGGTGTTCCATCCTTGATATGACAAAGTATAGCTTAATGCTAAATAAAACCCTTAAGATGTTATCAACTGTAGCATAGGTTAAATCGAGTTTGTTTGGAAAACCGACAATTAAGATATGTCATCTAATTTCAAAAGAAATAATAAAAGACTTGTTACCATTTTGAGAATGTAACCCATGTTGTCATTGGTACTTTAATTGTTTAAGAATCTATAGAAATGAAGAAAAGAATAAACATTTATGTACATTGATAGGAAAACATAACATTTCATTTATAACAACTTTTTGTTTTGTTTATTGCATTTAGCGATCTTGAGATGTGGATTCTTATCCCTGTATCTAGCTGGATCGAACAGTTATTTCTGTGCATGCATAGTATAATTCACTTACTTCACGTGCGCAATGATTATGTCGCATTGTCGAGTTCTACTTTTGAAAGTTTGTAAATGTCGTTCAAAACTATTTTTTCACTCATCTATTTGCAATACATGTGAAACTGTGCAGGACTTATTATCAGTGTGGAAGAACACAACTCATGTCACCATTTTATGATGGCACCCTTGGTGATTCCAGGTCAGTAATGGTCCTCAGCAACATTTGCTTGTCGCAAGAGGCAACTCAATGGAACGGGTGGTCAGACTCGATGACTTGGTTGCATGACGTGTCAACCACTCCGACGGCGTGGACCGTTGCACATAATATCACACTCTGGATTGTCTGGTCTAGACTTAACTATTTACCGGTCACTGCTATATTGCTGGAAAATATCAGATTGCAGTATTAAACAAGCATCAGACGTTTCCACCACCAACCCCAGGTTCATCCGTTCAATTCGAAATTGGATATTTTTCGGACTTACTGTAGATACCATCATTATTTCTCACGTCTTATTTTATATACTTAGTAAGTAACATATTTTTCAAAAGTTGTTAGACATGCTGATTAATTAAAAAAAAATTCATGTGGAAATATTAATATTCTCTTACATAACAGTTGATGGTAACGTGACGCAATGGACACAGTGGAATTACTCTCCCTGTTCAGCAACCTGCGGTCCAGGCGAAAGGAGTGGGACAAGAAGCAGGACTTGCACCAACCCAGCACCAGCATTTGGCGGAAGTGACTGTACTCAACCACTGTTTTCTGAGGAAACTGTCAATTGTACTGACCGAAACTGTTCCAGTATGTGTATTAAGTTATAACACATTGAGAAATCCATCAATTCTGCCCCTGATAAACACGGATAAAGCTGGTTTATGGATCTATATTAAAATACAGATATCTATATCGACATAGCAAACAGTATCCCGTGGTTGTCAGGTATCAGCTTCACAGACTGGTCAAAGCTGACTCATCACTTGGTGATTGAAAGGCTTGTTTGTAATTAAATTCCGTTAAATTTGCTCAAAGTAAAGTACTTAAGCAATTAAGAAACGTGAAGGCATCATGTATAAAGGAATAATATTAAGAATCAGGAAGATATGTAAACGGTCTTAACCATACGTTTCTTGGGACAGTTTTTGCAATTGGGTATGCAAATATTCATTTACAAACATTCTGAGGAGGATAACTTGTTCGTTCATGACTTTCCAAAGCACACGTGATCTAGCATAAGACCAGCAAGCGGAATAAAAAAAATAGAAAAACTTAATTTTACAAAATTAAGCATTCTTTTAGGATATAAAATGAAGTTCTAAACGTTATAATTGAAATAGTCAAGTTTGCTTTCAGAAATAGGCTTTGTACCATGAAAAACATGACAAAAGACTTACAGTATTAATAGGTTACTTTACTTAAATCAAGACTATCAGACAATTTATGTCCAATTGTTTACATCAATACAGACATAATCCTATCAGATATTTACTTAATTTTATCAAAGAGCTTAGATATGTAAGTATGGTTTTAAACCTGTAATTTGTTATTCACACAAAATTATAATTTTCCTGTGCGTTCATCCAAAACCCCGTGAGATGACGTTGATTTCGTCATTGATCCTTATAAAAAACGAAGGTACAAATGCACTTTACATGCAAAATAATGTATTTACACTATTTGTTAGTATTAATTTGCCAACTGCATGGAAGCCCATTTTCTGTGTGAGTATCATTATTGCTATTCCTTGTATTGTGAAGTTGATGGGGGCGTAACAGCGTGGACAGAGTGGTCGGGACCGTCGTGTAATTGTAGTGATGCATCTACGAGGACGCTCAACAGGTATAGGACTTGTACAAATCCTCCACCTCAATTCGGCGGTCAAATCTGCAGAGAAACTTTGATTGAAACAGTGACAAGAACCTGCGATGTCAGTAACTGCCCAGGTAAAGAAAAGCTCTTATTAGAGGTTAAGATTGTCCATACCACTTCGTCCAATGGGAAAAATCTGCACACTATTGTAGATAATATGGTATAACATGTTTTGTTTCTGTCCTCAGTTGATGGAGGCGTAAGTGAGTGGAGTGATTGGGTCGATGGGGAATGTTCACAGACGTGTGGAGCAACTGCTTTCAAACCTCGAACAAGAACAAGAACATGCACCAACCCGCCACCCAGCAATGGTGGACTCGAATGCCGAGTAACACTAACAGCAAGGACTAATGTTAGCTGTAACTCTGCTCCTTGCCCCAGTAAGTGTGTTAGTGTTTCCATACACACATTTTCCAACTGCATTTTACCCCATTGACCTCACGAATATTTGCTAATTCTTGAGACAGAGATCTGTACGTGTTCAACGTCTTGTTCTTTGTCCAAAGTTTATTGACCTTGACTGAATCACATTATGCTCGTGTAATTCAAACATCATTATGATCGTTTAGTATCATCTATCTTATAAACATCCTGTTATTTATCTCAAAGGGTTTGCGGACGCTATTAAAGGATAGCAAGTGGTTTCGATCTCGAAATAACGTCTTTGTTATCAGCATATTTCTGGTGACCCCAGTTCTATTGTGGCTGGAATATGGCTAAGAAAAGTGTAAAACTTCTCCGTCCTCCGTCACTAACTTACCCTAAAACTGAAGTAAATAATGCAGAAAACTGTTTATCATTGTAGTAGAATACAATTGATCATGCTGTCCATCTCATACTATGCCACTTCTTTTTCAATAACGTGCCATTGCAGTTGCGATTAAATTATTTATAAGTAATACTTCACTATAACTCTTTATCGGTCACTGTAATATTGCTGGAAAATATCAGATTGTAGTGTTAAACAAGAATCAGACGTTTCCACCATCAACCCTGAGTTCATTCATTTAATTCGAAATTGCATATTCTCCAGACTTACTGTAGATACCATCATTATTTATCATATTTTATTATATATTCTTAGTCAGTAACACATTTCTCACTAGATTAGTAGACATGTTGATTAATTTTACTTTTTTTATGTGGAAATAATACTAATATTATCTTATTACATGTAACAGTTGATGGTAATGTAACGCAATGGGCACAGTGGAATTACTCCCCCTGTTCAGCAACCTGCGGTCCAGGACAGAGGAGTGGGACAAGAAGCAGGACTTGCACCAACCCAACACCAGCATTTGGAGGAAGTGGCTGTACTCAACCGCTGGTTTCTGTGGAAATTGTCAATTGTACTGACCGAAACTGTCCCAGTATGTGTATTAAGTTATAACACATTGAGAAATCCATCAATTCTGTCCCTAATAACACGGATAAAGCTGGTTTATGGATCTATATTAAAATACAGATATCTATATCGACATAGCAAACAGTATCCCGTGGATGTAAGGTATCAGCTTCACAGACTGGTCAAAGCTGACTCATCACTTGATGATTGAAAGGCTTGTTTGTAATTAAATTCCGTTAAATTTGCTCAAAGTAAAGTACTTAAGCAATTACGAAACGTGAAGGCATCATGTATAAAGGAATAATATTAAGAATCAGGAAGAAATGTAAACGGTCTTAACCATACGTTTCTTGGGACAGTTTTTGCAATCGGATATGCAAATATTCTTTTACAAACATTTGGAGGGAAACTATAACTCGTTCGTTCATGACTTTCCAAAGCACACGTGATCTAGCATAAGACCAGCAAGCGGAATAAAAAAAATAGAAAAACTTAATTTTACAAAATTAAGCATTCTTTTAGGATATAAAATGAAGTTCTAAACGTTATAATTGAAATAGTCAAGTTTGCTTTCAGAAATAGGCTTTGTACCATGAAAAACATGACAAAAGACTTACAGTATTAATAGGTTACTTTACTTAAATCAAGACTATCAGACAATTTATGTCCAATTGTTTACATCAATACAGACATAATCCTATCAGATATTTACTTAATTTTATCAAAGAGCTTAGATATGTAAGTATGGTTTTAAACCTGTAATTTGTTATTCACACAAAATTATAATTTTCCTGTGCGTTCATCCAAAACCCCGTGAGATGACGTTGATTTCGTCATTGATCCTTATAAAAAACGAAGGTACAAATGCACTTTACATGCAAAATAATGTATTTACACTATTTGTTAGTATTAATTTGCCAACTGCATGGAAGCCCATTTTCTGTGTGAGTATCATTATTGCTATTCCTTGTATTGTGAAGTTGATGGGGGCGTAACAGCGTGGACAGAGTGGTCGGGACCGTCGTGTAATTGTAGTGATGCATCTACGAGGACGCTCAACAGGTATAGGACTTGTACAAATCCTCCACCTCAATTCGGCGGTCAAATCTGCAGAGAAACTTTGATTGAAACAGTGACAAGAACCTGCGTTGTCAGTAACTGCCCAGGTAAAGAAAAGCTCTTATCAGAGGTTAAGATTGTCCATACCACTTCGTCCAATGGGAAAAATCTGCACACTATTGTAGATAATATGGTATAACATGTTTTGTTTCTGTCCTCAGTTGATGGAGGCGTAAGTGAGTGGAGTGATTGGGTCGATGGGGAATGTTCACAGACGTGTGGAGTAACTGCTTTCAAACCTCGAACAAGAACAAGAACATGCACCAACCCGCCACCCAGCAATGGTGGACTCGACTGCCGAGTAACACTAACAGCAAGGACTAATGTTAGCTGTAACTCTGCTCCTTGCCCCAGTAAGTGTGTTAGTGTTTCCATACACACATTTTCCAACTGCATTTTACCCCATTGACCTCATGAATATTTGCTAATTCTTGAGACAGAGATCTGTACGTGTTCAACGTCTTGTTCTTTGTCCAAAGTTTATTGACCTTGACTGAATCACATTATGCTCGTGTAATTCAAACATCATTATGATCGTTTAGTATCATCTATCTTATAAACATCCTGTTATTTATCTCAAAGGGTTTGCGGACGCTATTAAAGGATAGCAAGTGGTTTCGATCTCGAAATAACGTCTTTGTTATCAGCATATTTCTGGTGACCCCAGTTCTATTGTGGCTGGAATATGGCTGAGAAAAGTGTAAAACTTCTCCGTCCTCCGTCACTAACTTACCCTAAAACTGAAGTAAATAATGCAGAAAACTGTTTATAATTGTAGTAGAATACAATTGATCATGCTGTCCATCTCATACTATGCCACTTCTTTTTCAATAACGTGCCATTGCAGTTGCGATTAAATTATTTATAAGTAATACTTCACTATAACTCTTTATCGGTCACTGCAATATTGCTGGAAAATATCAGATTGTAGTGTTAAACAAGAATCAGACGTTTCCACCATCAACCCTGAGTTCATTCATTTAATTCGAAATTGCATATTCTCCAGACTTACTGTAGATACCATCATTATTTATCATATTTTATTATATATTCTTAGTCAGTAACACATTTCTCACTAGATTAGTAGACATGTTGATTAATTTTACTTTTTTTATGTGGAAATAATAATAATATTATCTTATTACATGTAACAGTTGATGGTAATGTAACGCAATGGGCACAGTGGAATTACTCCCCCTGTTCAGCAACCTGCGGTCCAGGACAGAGGAGTGGGACAAGAAGCAGGACTTGCACCAACCCAACACCAGCATTTGGAGGAAGTGGCTGTACTCAACCGCTGGTTTCTGTGGAAACTGTCAATTGTACTGACCGAAACTGTCCCAGTATGTGTATTAAGTTATAACACATTGAGAATCCATCAATTCTGTCCCTAATAACACGGATAAAGCTGGTTTATGGATCTATATTAAAATACAGATATCTATATCGACATAGCAAACAGCATCCCGTGGATGTAAGGTATCAGCTTCACAGACTGGTCAAAGCTGACTCATCACTTGATGATTGAAAGGCTTGTTTGTAATTAAATTCCGTTAAATTTGCTCAAAGTAAAGTACTTAAGCAATTACGAAACGTGAAGGCATCATGTATAAAGGAATAATATTAAGAATCAGGAAGAAATGTAAACGGTCTTAACCATACGTTTCTTGGGACAGTTTTTGCAATCGGATATGCAAATATTCTTTTACAAACATTCTGAGGAGGGAAACTATAACTCGTTCGTTCATGACTTTCCAAAGCACACGTGATCTAGCATAAGACCAGCAAGCGGAATAAAAAAAATAGAAAAACTTAATTTTACAAAATTAAGCATTCTTTTAGGATATAAAATGAAGTTCTAAACGTTATAATTGAAATAGTCAAGTTTGCTTTCAGAAATAGGCTTTGTACCATGAAAAACATGACAAAAGACTTACAGTATTAATAGGTTACTTTACTTAAATCAAGACTATCAGACAATTTATGTCCAATTGTTTACATCAATACAGACATAATCCTATCAGATATTTACTTAATTTTATCAAAGAGCTTAGATATGTAAGTATGGTTTTAAACCTGTAATTTGTTATTCACACAAAATTATAATTTTCCTGTGCGTTCATCCAAAACCCCGTGAGATGACGTTGATTTCGTCATTGATCCTTATAAAAAACGAAGGTACAAATGCAGTTTACATGCAAAATAATGTATTTACACTATTTGTTAGTATTAATTTGCCAACTGCATGGAAGCCCATTTTCTGTGTGAGTATCATTATTGCTATTCCTTGTATTGTGAAGTTGATGGGGGCGTAACAGCGTGGACAGAGTGGTCGGGACCGTCGTGTAATTGTAGTGATGCATCTACGAGGACGCTCAACAGGTATAGGACTTGTACAAATCCTCCACCTCAATTCGGCGGTCAAATCTGCAGAGAAACTTTGATTGAAACAGTGACAAGAACCTGCGATGTCAGTAACTGCCCAGGTAAAGAAAAGCTCTTATCAGAGGTTAAGATTGTCCATACCACTTCGTCCAATGGGAAAAATCTGCACACTATTGTAGATAATATGGTATAACATGTTTTGTTTCTGTCCTCAGTTGATGGAGGCGTAAGTGAGTGGAGTGATTGGGTCGATGGGGAATGTTCACAGACGTGTGGAGTAACTGCTTTCAAACCTCGAACAAGAACAAGAACATGCACCAACCCGCCACCCAGCAATGGTGGACTCGACTGCCGAGTAACACTAACAGCAAGGACTAATGTTAGCTGTAACTCTGCTCCTTGCCCCAGTAAGTGTGTTAGTGTTTCCATACACACATTTTCCAACTGCATTTTACCCCATTGATCTCACGAATATTTGCTAATTCTTGAGACAGAGATCTGTACGTGTTCAACGTCTTGTTCTTTGTCCAAAGTTTATTGACCTTGACTGAATCACATTATGCTCGTGTAATTCAAACATCATTATGATCGTTTAGTATCATCTATCTTATAAACATCCTGTTATTTATCTCAAAGGGTTTGCGGACGCTATTAAAGGATAGCAAGTGGTTTCGATCTCGAAATAACGTCTTTGTTATCAGCATATTTCTGGTGACCCCAGTTCTATTGTGGCTGGAATATGGCTAAGAAAAGTGTAAAACTTCTCCGTCCTCCGTCACTAACTTACCCTAAAACTGAAGTAAATAATGCAGAAAACTGTTTATCATTGTAGTAGAATACAATTGATCATGCTGTCCATCTCATACTATGCCACTTCTTTTTCAATAACGTGCCATTGCAGTTGCGATTAAATTATTTATAAGTAATACTTCACTATAACTCTTTATCGGTCACTGCAATATTGCTGGAAAATATCAGATTGTAGTGTTAAACAAGAATCAGACGTTTCCACCATCAACCCTGAGTTCATTCATTTAATTCGAAATTGCATATTCTCCAGACTTACTGTAGATACCATCATTATTTATCATATTTTATTATATATTCTTAGTCACTAACACATTTCTAACTGGATTAGTAGACATGTTGATTAATTTTACTTTTTTTATGTGGAAATAATAATAATATTATCTTATTACATGTAACAGTTGATGGTAATGTAACGCAATGGGCACAGTGGAATTACTCCCCCTGTTCAGCAACCTGCGGTCCAGGACAGAGGAGTTGGACAAGAAGCAGGACTTGCACCAACCCAACACCAGCATTTGGAGGAAGTGGCTGTACTCAACCGCTGGTTTCTGTGGAAATTGTCAATTGTACTGACCGAAACTGTCCCAGTATGTGTATTAAGTTATAACACATTGAGAAATCCATCAATTCTGTCCCTAATAACACGGATAAAGCTGGTTTATGGATCTATATTATAGTAAAGTACTTAAGCAATTACGAAACGTGAAGGCATCATGTATAAAGGAATAATATTAAGAATCAGGAAGAAATGTAAACGGTCTTAACCATACGTTTCTTGGGACAGTTTTTGCAATCGGATATGCAAATATTCTTTTACAAACATTCTGAGGAGGGAAACTATAACTCGTTCGTTCATGACTTTCCAAAGCACACGTGATCTAGCATAAGACCAGCAAGCGGAATAAAAAAAATAGAAAAACTTAATTTTACAAAATTAAGCATTCTTTTAGGATATAAAATGAAGTTCTAAACGTTATAATTGAAATAGTCAAGTTTGCTTTCAGAAATAGGCTTTGTACCATGAAAAACATGACAAAAGACTTACAGTATTAATAGGTTACTTTACTTAAATCAAGACTATCAGACAATTTATGTCCAATTGTTTACATCAATACAGACATAATCCTATCAGATATTTACTTAATTTTATCAAAGAGCTTAGATATGTAAGTATGGTTTTAAACCTGTAATTTGTTATTCACACAAAATTATAATTTTCCTGTGCGTTCATCCAAAACCCCGTGAGATGACGTTGATTTCGTCATTGATCCTTATAAAAAACGAAGGTACAAATGCAGTTTACATGCAAAATAATGTATTTACACTATTTGTTAGTATTAATTTGCCAACTGCATGGAAGCCCATTTTCTGTGTGAGTATAATTATTGCTATTCCTTGTATTGTGAAGTTGATGGGGGCGTAACAGCGTGGACAGAGTGGTCGGGACCGTCGTGTAATTGTAGTGATGCATCTACGAGGACGCTCAACAGGTATAGGACTTGTACAAATCCTCCACCTCAATTCGGCGGTCAAATCTGCAGAGAAACTTTGATTGAAACAGTGACAAGAACCTGCGATGTCAGTAACTGCCCAGGTAAAGAAAAGCTCTTATCAGAGGTTAAGATTGTCCATACCACTTCGTCCAATGGGAAAAAATCTGCACACTATTGTAGATAATATGGTATAACATGTTTTGTTTCTGTCCTCAGTTGATGGAGGCGTAAGTGAGTGGAGTGATTGGGTCGATGGGGAATGTTCACAGACGTGTGGAGTAACTGCTTTCAAACCTCGAACAAGAACAAGAACATGCACCAACCCGCCACCCAGCAATGGTGGACTCGACTGCCAAGTAACACTAACAGCAAGGACTAATGTTAGCTGTAACTCTGCTCCTTGCCCCAGTAAGTGTGTTAGTGTTTCCATACACACATTTTCCAACTGCATTTTACCCCATTGACCTCATGAATATTTGCTAATTCTTGAGACAGAGATCTGTACGTGTTCAACGTCTTGTTCTTTGTCCAAAGTTTATTGACCTTGACTGAATCACATTATGCTCGTGTAATTCAAACATCATTATGATCGTTTAGTATCATCTATCTTATAAACATCCTGTTATTTATCTCAAAGGGTTTGCGGACGCTATTAAAGGATAGCAAGTGGTTTCGATCTCGAAATAACGTCTTTGTTATCAGCATATTTCTGGTGACCCCAGTTCTATTGTGGCTGGAATATGGCTAAGAAAAGTGTAAAACTTCTCCGTCCTCCGTCACTAACTTACCCTAAAACTGAAGTAAATAATGCAGAAAACTGTTTATCATTGTAGTAGAATACAATTGATCATGCTGTCCATCTCATACTATGCCACTTCTTTTTCAATAACGTGCCATTGCAGTTGCGATTAAATTATTTATAAGTAATACTTCACTATAACTCTTGATCGGTCACTGCAATATTGCTGGAAAATATCAGATTGTAGTGTTAAACAAGAATCAGACGTTTCCACCATCAACCCTGAGTTCATTCATTTAATTCGAAATTGCATATTCTCCAGACTTACTGTAGATACCATCATTATTTATCATATTTTATTATATATTCTTAGTCACTAACACATTTCTCACTAGATTAGTAGACATGTTGATTAATTTTACTTTTTTTATGTGGAAATAATAATAATATTATCTTATCACATGTAACAGTTGATGGTAATGTAACGCAATGGGCACAGTGGAATTACTCCCCCTGTTCAGCAACCTGCGGTCCAGGACAGAGGAGTGGGACAAGAAGCAGGACTTGCACCAACCCAACACCAGCATTTGGAGGAAGTGGCTGTACTCAGCCGCTGGTTTCTGTGGAAATTGTCAATTGTACTGACCGAAACTGTCCCAGTATGTGTATTAAGTTATAACACATTGAGAAATCCATCAATTATGTCCCTAATAACACGGATAAAGCTGGTTTATGGATCTATATTAAAATACAGATATCTATATCGACATAGCAAACAGTATCCCGTGGATGTAAGGTATCAGCTTCACAGACTGGTCAAAGCTGACTCATCACTTGATGATTGAAAGGCTTGTTTGTAATTAAATTCCGTTAAATTTGCTCAAAGTAAAGTACTTAAGCAATTACGAAACGTGAAGGCATCATGTATAAAGGAATAATATTAGGAATCAGGAAGAAATGTAAACGGTCTTAACCATACGTTTCTTGGGACAGTTTTTGCAATCGGATATGCAAATATTCTTTTACAAACATTCTGAGGAGGGAAACTATAACTCGTTCGTTCATGACTTTCCAAAGCACACGTGATCTAGCATAAGACCAGCAAGCGGAATAAAAAAAATAGAAAAACTTAATTTTACAAAATTAAGCATTCTTTTAGGATATAAAATGAAGTTCTAAACGTTATAATTGAAATAGTCAAGTTTGCTTTCAGAAATAGGCTTTGTACCATGAAAAACATGACAAAAGACTTACAGTATTAATAGGTTACTTTACTTAAATCAAGACTATCAGACAATTTATGTCCAATTGTTTACATCAATACAGACATAATCCTATCAAATATTTACTTAATTTTATCAAAGAGCTTAGATATGTAAGTATGGTTTTAAACCCTCTAATTTGTTATTCACACAAAATTATAATTTTCCTGTGCGTTCATCCAAAACCCCGTGAGATGACGTTGATTTCGTCATTGATCCTTATAAAAAACGAAGGTACAAATGCAGTTTACATGCAAAATAATGTATTTACACTATTTGTTAGTATTAATTTGCCAACTGCATGGAAGCCCATTTTCTGTGTGAGTATCATTATTGCTATTCCTTGTATTGTGAAGTTGATGGGGGCGTAACAGCGTGGACAGAGTGGTCGGGACCGTCGTGTAATTGTAGTGATGCATCTACGAGGACGCTCAACAGGTATAGGACTTGTACAAATCCTCCACCTCAATTCGGCGGTCAAATCTGCAGAGAAACTTTGATTGAAACAGTGACAAGAACCTGCGATGTCAGTAACTGCCCAGGTAAAGAAAAGCTCTTATTAGAGGTTAAGATTGTCCATACCACTTCGTCCAATGGGAAAAATCTGCACACTATTGTAGATAATATGGTATAACATGTTTTGTTTCTGTCCTCAGTTGATGGAGGCGTAAGTGAGTGGAGTGATTGGGTCGATGGGGAATGTTCACAGACGTGTGGAGTAACTGCTTTCAAACCTCGAACAAGAACAAGAACATGCACCAACCCGCCACCCAGCAATGGTGGACTCGACTGCCAAGTAACACTAACAGCAAGGACTAATGTTAGCTGTAACTCTGCTCCTTGCCCCAGTAAGTGTGTTAGTGTTTCCATACACACATTTTCCAACTGCATTTTACCCCATTGACCTCACGAATATTTGCTAATTCTTGAGACAGAGATCTGTACGTGTTCAACGTCTTGTTCTTTGTCCAAAGTTTATTGACCTTGACTGAATCACATTATGCTCGTGTAATTCAAACATCATTATGATCGTTTAGTATCATCTATCTTATAAACATCCTGTTATTTATCTCAAAGGGTTTGCGGACGCTATTAAAGGATAGCAAGTGGTTTCGATCTCGAAATAACGTCTTTGTTATCAGCATATTTCTGGTGACCCCAGTTCTATTGTGGCTGGAATATGGCTGAGAAAAGTGTAAAACTTCTCCGTCCTCCATCACTAACTTACCCTAAAACTGAAGTAAATAATGCAGAAAACTGTTTATCATTGTAGTAGAATACAATTGATCATGCTGTCCATCTCATACTATGCCACTTCTTTTTCAATAACGTGCCATTGCAGTTGCGATTAAATTATTTATAAGTAATACTTCACTATAACTCTTTACTGGTCACTGCAATATTGCTGGAAAATATCAGATTGTAGTGTTAAACAAGAATCAGACGTTTCCACCATCAACCCTGAGTTCATTCATTTAATTGCATCTTCTCCAGACTTACTGTAGATACCATCATTATTTATCATATTTTATTATATATTCATAGTCAGTACACATTTCTCACTAGATTAGTAGACATGTTGATTAATTTTACTTTTTTTATGTGGAAATAATAATAATATTATCTTATCACATGTAACAGTTGATGGTAATGTAACGCAATGGGCACAGTGGAATTACTCCCCCTGTTCAGCAACCTGCGGTCCAGGACAGAGGAGTGGGACAAGAAGCAGGACTTGCACCAACCCAACACCAGCATTTGGAGGAAGTGGCTGTACTCAACCGCTGGTTTCTGTGGAAACTGTCAATTGTACTGACCGAAACTGTCCCAGTATGTGTATTAAGTTGTAACACATTGAGAAATCCATCAATTATGTCCCTAATAACACGGATAAAGCTGGTTTATGGATCTATATTAAAATACAGATATCTATATCGACATAGCAAACAGTATCCCGTGGATGTAAGGTATCAGCTTCACAGACTGGTCAAAGCTGACTCATCACTTGATGATTGAAAGGCTTGTTTGTAATTAAATTCCGTTAAATTTGCTCAAAGTAAAGTACTTAAGCAATTACGAAACGTGAAGGCATCATGTATAAAGGAATAATATTAGGAATCAGGAAGATATGTAAACGGTCTTAACCATACGTTTCTTGGGACAGTTTTTGCAATCGGATATGCAAATATTCTTTTACAAACATTCTGAGGAGGGAAACTATAACTCGTTCGTTCATGACTTTCCAAAGCACACGTGATCTAGCATAAGACCAGCAAGCGGAATAAAAAAAATAGAAAAACTTAATTTTACAAAATTAAGCATTCTTTTAGGATATAAAATGAAGTTCTAAACGTTATAATTGAAATAGTCAAGTTTGCTTTCAGAAATAGGCTTTGTACCATGGAAGACATGACAAGAGACTTACAGTATTAATAGGTTACTTTACTTAAATCAAGACTATCAGACAATTTATGTCGAATTGTTTACATCAATACAGACATAATCCTATCAAATATTTACTTAATTTTATCAAAGAGCTTAGATATGTAAGTATGGTTTTAAACCTGTAATTTGTTATTCACACAAAATTATAATTTTCCTGTGCGTTCATCCAAAACCCCGTGAGATGACGTTGATTTCGTCATTGATCCTTATAAAAAACGAAGGTACAAATGCAGTTTACATGCAAAATAACGTATTTACACTATTTGTTAGTATTAATTTGCCAACTGCATGGAAGCCCATTTTCTGTGTGAGTATCATTAATGCTATTCTTTGTATTGCGCAGTTGATGGGGGCGTAACAGCGTGGACAGAGTGGTCGGGACCGTCGTGTAATTGTAGTGATGCATCTACGAGGACGCTCAACAGGTATAGGACTTGTACAAATCCTCCACCTCAATTCGGCGGTCAAAACTGCAGAGAAACTTTGATTGAAACAGTGACAAGAACCTGCGATGTCAGTAACTGCCCAGGTAAAGAAAAGCTCTTATCAGAGGTTAAGATTGTCCATACCACTTCGTCCAATGGGAAAGATCTGCAAACTATTGTAGATAATATGGTATAACATGTTTTGTTTCTGTCCTCAGTTGATGGAGGCGTAAGTGAGTGGAGTGATTGGGTCGATGGGGAATGTTCACAGACGTGTGGAGTAACTGCTTTCAAACCTCGAACAAGAACAAGAACATGCACCAACCCGCCACCCAGCAATGGTGGACTCGACTGCCGAGTAACACTAACAGCAAGGACTAATGTTAGCTGTAACTCTGCTCCTTGCCCCAGTAAGTGTGTTAGTGTTTCCATACACATTTTCCAACTGCATTTTACCCAGTTGACCTTACGGATATTTGCTAATTCTTGAGACAGAGATCTGTACGTGTTCAACGTCTTGTTCTTTGTCCAAAGTTTATTGACCTTGACTGAATCACATTATGCTCGTGTAATTTAAACATCATTATGATCGTTTAGTATCATCTATCTTATAAACATCCTGTTATTTATCTCAAAGGGTTTGCGGACGCTATAAAGAATAGCAAGTGGTTTCGATCTCGAAATAACGTCTTTGTTATCAGCATATTTCTGGTGACCCCAGTTCTATTGTGGCTGGAATATGGCTAAGAAATGTGTAAAACTTCTCCGTCCTCCGTCACTAACTTACCCTAAAACTGAAGTAAATAATGCAGAAAACTGTTTATCATTGTAGTAGAATACAATTGATCATGCTGTCCATCTCATACTATGCCACTTCTTTTTCAATAACGTGCCATTGCAGTTGCGATTAAATTATTTATAAGTAATACTTCACTATAACTCTTTATATTGATGGAGGTGTAAGTGAATGGAGTGACTGGGTCGATGGGAAATGTTCACAGACGTGTGTACTAACTGCTTTCAAACCGCGAACAAGATTGTTGGCTCTAATCCCAGATACTCCACATAGATTCCCTTGATTTCCTTGAACCACTGCACTCTCAACAGATGTTGTGAAGCATGAAATACTTGTGTCGAATTTACGAGTACTGTAAACACAACATGAGAAAAGCCAACATACCCAGTAAAATTCCCTCTCCCATGGATTAGTTTTGGCATATCGTTCGTGTTATAGCGAGAAAATAGAACCAGTCGTAGACATTTATGGAATGCGCCACTCGATATGAACATCCATTCAGTAAGAATGCAGTAGCCCAATACAACACATTAACGTTCTGCATTAGATACATACAAGTGAGCATTACAGTGAGGTGATATACTTTTGAACAATTACCACTTTTCATAAACTGTATTTGTCAAATATACTGCCACAGTTGTGCCATCTGTGAAAGTCATGTACACTGGTGTATAGCAAGGATGAAATATCGTTCTCAATTCCAGAAGACGTTAACAATTTCCCAATTGTTATATTACATATGTCAAAGAAGAATGAAGTTATTGTAATATGCTTGGATATTAATGTGCGATGGGAGGCAAAAATCGCATAAGTGCACACTTTGAATACTGCGTTAAATATATACCAGAAGAAATGAATGGTATACAAGGATGGGGAGAGGAGAAGAGGTTCTAATACCTAGTGTGTACCATATTGATACATTATGTCTAAATATAACGATATGTATTAACATGTACCAGTTGTTCATGCCTCTATCAATAACACTTGCTTTGCTTTAATGACCTATGTGGGATAATGGACTTTCATATGCTCATGCAAGAGGGGTTTGTCGTTTTCTTTCCCATATATTTTCAGTTGGTACATATATTCTGTTGCTGACCAATGATTCGTCAACCTACGTTGCCGCCAACATAACTTTGAGAGTTATTTTGTCTGCGAATGCATCGCAAGGCTTCTGGTTCAAGGACAACATCCCTGTAGTTAACAATGACCGAACTAGGTACTCTGTGTCTGGGCTAAACCACGAACTGACAATCACTAATGTCACAGAATCGGATGCAGGGTCTTATGGTTACTTCATCAATGGGAACTTCATACAAGGCAATCTGACAGTGGATAGTCAAGGTAGCTATCCCTGTATCACCGTATTTTGTACACGTGAGTAAATGATTAAAGGTAATGCACTGTAAGTGTCAATATTGCAGCTGTTTATGATCACAAATGCAGACTTCATTCAGTGGAATCTGATACATCAGCGACCGGTTAACTCGTGTGCTCCCACTCGAGATTTATACATAAAGCATACCTTAGGAATAGGTATCATGTTGTTACACACGGTTACACATTCTCATCATTGCCTTACAGTTGATGGCAACTTCACCGAGTGGGGTGAATGGAGTAACACACCATGTGGTGTGACATGTGGACAGACAGCTACGAAGGCAGTAGCTAGAAATAGGACCTGTATCAACCCAGAGTCCGGCGGGGCCAACTGTGTTGGACCTACCATCCAGACTAAATCCGTTAGCTGCGGCCTAGATCCATGTCCTAGTGAGTATAATTCCATGAAAAAATATTTGAGTGTATGTTGCTTGATTTTGTATGTGTTGGCAGGTTCTCGCTCATGGTTGGGATAGAGCCGAGTAAATATAAAACTCAACAAGCAGAAGCAATCACGACCATCCACCGAAACAGATTGCATTGTGCGTGAAAGCCAATTTATGTGTAAAATAACAGAAATGACACCTGGTGTTCGCGAAGATGCTACTTGTATCTTTATGTGTCTCTGGTGCTGACATTGTGTAGTTATCCATAGTCAATCGGAGAACGGTTTACTTATTATGACGTTGTGTCTGCACAGCTAGGCTTTTTTCTGATAGACTGTCAGTGAGATTGCCTGAGTTGACATGCATGGGTATCGACTGTGTGCCGCCTGATATCTGTACAATGGTACATGATATATGTCAATCGATTAATGTTGATACGATAGCACAAGGTCATATGCCGTACATTAAGTCATAGGAAATAAGAAATACACACTTGCAAATAATCTAATGATAATCTTAGGATCACTTCACATGCGTATGCAAGTAAATCCCAACTTCCATAAGACTTACTTAAGAACATATGTATGTATTATATAGAGTTTACTGAGTGCCTAAATAGCAGTTTAGTAGCATCTAAACCGTCACTAAAATGACTTAATTCATTGCTCGAGGCTGAGTATTCTCTGGCACAGACGATATGAATTTATGAATTCGTTTTATATCCTTAATAGTTGATGGAGGAATATCAGATTGGGGTATGTGGACCACGACGAGTCCGTGTACAGCGACTTGTGGCGAGAGAGAGACAACAGTTGTGACCAGGACAAGGAGCTGCTCCAGACCTCAGCCCAGATTCGGTGGAAGAGACTGTACAGAGACTCGATTTGAGGCCATGACGAGAAGTTGTAATCTGCCGAGATGTCCAAGTACGTTTTCATTAATCATTATGACTTATTTCATTTAGTTGATAGATATGCCTTACTTTGGAGCAGAATGTAGAGTTAATTCTTGGTGGCAGCCTATGTGATATCGCAACTTAAGAAATAAACAACTAGTGGGAGTTGTTTATCGTACAATAAAACACTGCTGGGAGAATAAAACATGAGGGGCGCAGCTCCTTACAGTGTTTTATTGTATGATAAACAACGACCATGAGTCGTTTATTTCTTACATGATCCATCAACATCATGTGCTCTCACTCGCATCGTTAAGGATGAGAATATAGTTTTTACACAGAAGTTACCTGAGTTTAGACAAATGTAAATCAGCAGTTTAATGAGTTGCAACGAATTTGCAACGAACTCTTACGGTTTTATGCAAACTGTGTGAGTTTTGGGTGCTACCAGTAGAGCAGGACATAAGTGCCTGGAAGGACACAATCAATGGCCTACCACATTAAAACTTTGTGGGGATAGTACGAGAGTCTAAGGCGTGACGAGGGAACACGTTAATCCGAGGCTACACCCACCCCTGTCAACAGGAGTTCATTATCAGAACGTCTGAGACCTGCATCACTTCGGGCTTTCCTCCCATATGAAGCTGACACGCCGTGATATAACTGGAATACTGTTAAATGCGGCGTTAACCCAACTCACTCACTCACTCATTTTAGAAAAAAACATGTTTTTAACACGTTTCTGTTTTCAGATGATCAAGATATTCATATGCTGATCAATAACATTGCAACCTACGTTGGCGCCAACATAACTTTGAGAGTTGTTCTGTCTGCGAATGCATCACAAGGCTTCTGGTTCAAGGACAACATCCCTGTAGTTGACAATGACCGAACTAGGTACTCTATGTCTGGGCTAAACCACGAACTGACAATCACTAATGTCACAGAATCGGATGCAGGGTCTTATGGTTACTTCATCAATAGGGACTTCATACAAGGCAATCTGACAGTGGATAGTCAAGGTAGCTATCCCTGTATCACCGTATTTTGTACACGTGAGTAAATGATTAAAGGTAATGCACTGTAAGTGTCAATATTGCAGCTGTTTATGATCACAAATGCAGACTTCATTCAGTGGAATCTGATACATCAGCGACCGGTTAACTCGTGTGCTCCCACTCGAGATTTATACATAAAGCATACCTTAGGAATAGGTATCATGTTGTTACACACGGTTACACATTCTCATCATTGCCTTACAGTTGATGGCAACTTCACCGAGTGGGGTGAATGGAGTAACACACCATGTGGTGTGACATGTGGACAGACAGCTACGAAGGCAGTGGCTAGAAATAGGACCTGTATCAACCCAGAGTCCGGCGGGGCCAACTGTGTTGGACCTACCATCCAGACTAAATCCGTTAGCTGCGGCCTAGATCCATGTCCTAGTGAGTATAACTCCATGAAAAAACATTTGAGTGTATGTTGCTTGATTTTGTATGTGTTGGCAGGTTCTCGCTCATGGTTGGGATAGAGCCGAGTCAATATAAAACTCAACAAGCAGAAGCAATCACGACCATCCACCGAAACAGATTGTATTGTGCGTGAAAGCCAATTTACGTGTAAAATAACAGAAATGACACCTTGTGTTCGCGAAGATGCTACTTGTATCTTTATGTGTCTCTGGTGCTGACATTGTGTAGTTATCCATAGTCAATCGGAGAACGGTTTACTTATTATGACGTTGTGTCTGCACAGCTAGGCTTTTTTCTGATAGACTGTCAGTGAGATTGCCTGAGTTGACATGCATGGGTATCGACTGTGTGCCGCCTGATATCTGTACAATGGTACATGATATATGTCAATCGATTAAGGATAATCGCTTCTTTAATGCGATATGTTGATACGATAGCACAAGGTCATATGCCGTACATTAAGTCATAGGAAATAAGAAATACACACTTGCAAATAATCTAATGATAATCTTAGGATCACTTCACATGCGTATCCTGATAAATCCCAACTTCCATAAGACTTACTTAAGAACATATGTATGTATTATATAGAGTTTACTGAGTGCCTTGATTTGCAGTTAAGTAGCATCCAAACCGTCACTAAAATGACTTTAATTCATTGCTCGAGGCTGAGTATTCTCTGGCACAGGCGATATGAATTTATGAATTCGTTTTATATCCTTAATAGTTGATGGAGGAATATCAGATTGGGGTATGTGGACCACGACGAGTCCTTGTACAGCGACTTGTGGCGAGAGAGAGACATCAGTTGTGACCAGGACAAGGAACTGCTCCAGACCTCAGCCCAGATTCGATGGAAGAGACTGTACAGAGACTCGATTTGAGGCCATGACGAGAAGTTGTAATCTGCCGAGATGTCCAAGTACGTTTTCATTAATCATTATGACTTATTTCATTTAGTTGATAGATATGCCTTACTTTGGCGCAGTATGTAGAGTCAATTCTTGGTGGCAGCCTATGTGATATCGAAACTTAAGAAATAAACATCTAGTGGGAGTTGTTTATCGTACAATAAAACACTGCTGGGAGAATAAAACATGAGGGGCGCAGCTCCTTACAGTGTTTTATTGTATGATAAACAACGACCATGAGTCGTTTATTTCTTACATGATACATCAACATCATGTGCTCTCACTCGCATCGTTAAGGATGAGAATATAGTTTTTACACAGAAGTTACCTGAGTTTAGACAAATGTAAATCAGCAGTTTAATGAGTTGCAACGAATTTGCAACGAACTCTTACAGTTTTATGCAAACTGTGTGAGTTTCGGGTGCTACCAGTAGAGCAGGACATAAGTGCCTGGAAGGACACAATAAATGGCCTACCACATTAAAACTATGTGGGGATAGTACGAGAGTCTAAGGCGTGACGAGGGAACACGTTAATCCGAGGCTACACCCACCCCTGTTAACAGGAGTTCATTATCAGAACGTCTGAGACCTGCATCACTTCGGGCTTTCCTCCCATATGAAGCTGACACGCCGTGATATAACTGGAATACTGTTAAAAGCGGTGTTAACCCAATCCACTCACTCACTCATTTTAGAAAAAATATGTTTTTAACACGTTTCTGTTTTCAGATGATCCAGATATTCAGATGCTGATCAATAACATTGCAACCTACGTTGGCGCCAACATAACTTTGAGAGTTGTTCTGTCTGCGAATGCATCACAAGGCTTCTGGTTCAAGGACAACATCCCTGTAGTTGACAATGACCGAACTAGGTACTCTATGTCTGGGCTAAACCACGAACTGACAATCACTAATGTCACAGAATCGGATGCAGGGTCTTATGGTTACTTCATCAATAGGGACTTCATACAAGGCAATCTGACAGTGGAGAGTCAAGGTAGCTATCCCTGTATCACCGTATTTTGTACACGTGAGTAAATGATTAAAGGTAATGCACTGTAAGTGTCAATATTGCAGCTGTTTATGATCACAAATGCAGACTTCATTCAGTGGAATCTGATACATCAGCGACCGGTTAACTCGTGTGCTCCCACTCGAGATTTATACATAAAGCATACCTTAGGAATAGGTATCATGTTGTTACACAAGGTTACACATTCTCATCATTGCCTTACAGTTGATGGCAACTTCACCGAGTGGGGTGAATGGAGTAACACACCATGTGGTGTGACATGTGGACAGACAGCTACGAAGGCAGTGGCTAGAAATAGGACCTGTATCAACCCAGAGTCCGGCGGGGCCAACTGTGTTGGACCTACCATCCAGACTAAATCCGTTAGCTGCGGCCTAGATCCATGTCCTAGTGAGTATAATTCCATGAAAAAACATTTGAGTGTATGTTGCTTGATTTTGTATGTGTTGGCAGGTTCTCGCTCATGGTTGGGATAGAGCCGAGTAAATATAAAACTCAACAAGCAGAAGCAATCACGACCATCCACCGAAACAGATTGCATTGTGCGTGAAAGCCAATTTACGTGTAAAATAACAGAAATGACACCTGGTGTTCGCGAAGATGCTACTTGTATCTTTATGTGTCTCTGGTGCTGACATTGTGTAGTTATCCATAGTCAATCGGAGAACGGTTTACTTATTATGACGTTGTGTCTGCACAGCTAGGCTTTTTTCTGATAGACTGTCAGTGAGATTGCCTGAGTTGACATGCATGGGTATCGACTGTGTGCCGCCTGATATCTGTACAATGGTACATGATATATGTCAATCGATTAAGAATAATCGCTTCTTTAATGCGATATGTTGATACGATAGCACAAGGTCATATGCCGTACATTAAGTCATAGGAAATAAGAAATACACACTTGCAAATAATCTAATGATAATCTTAGGATCACTTCACATGCGTATCCTGATAAATCCCAACTTCCGTAAGACTTACTTAAGAACATATGTATGTATTATATAGAGTTCACTGAGTGCCTTGATTTGCAGTTAAGTAGCATCCAAACCGTCACTAAAATGACTTTAATTCATTGCTCAAGGCTGAGTATTCTCTGGCACAGGCGATATGAATTTATGAATTCGTTTTATATCCTTAATAGTTGATGGAGGAATATCTGATTGGGGTATGTGGACCACGACGAGTCCTTGTACAGCGACTTGTGGCGAGAGAGAGACATCAGTTGTGACCAGGACAAGGAACTGCTCCAGACCTCAGCCAAGATTCGATGGAAGAGACTGTACAGAGACTCGATTTGAGGCCATGACGAGAAGTTGTAATCTGCCGAGATGTCCAAGTACGTTTTCATTAATCATTATGACTTATTTCATTTAGTTGATAGATATGCCTTACTTTGGCGCAGTATGTAGAGTCAATTCTTGGTGGCAGCCTATGTGATATCGAAACTTAAGAAATAAACATCTAGTGGGAGTTGTTTATCGTACAATAAAACACTGCTGGGAGAATAAAACATGAGGGGCGCATCTTTAAGGATGAGAATATAGTTTTTACACAGACGTTACCTGAGTTTAGAGAAATGTAATTCAGCAGTTTAATGAGTTGCAACGAATTTGCAACGAACTCTTACAGTTTTATGCAAACTGTGTGAGTTTCGGGTGCTACCAGTAGAGCAGGACATAAGTGCCTGGAGGGACACAATACATGGCCTACCACATTAAAACTATGTGGGGATAGTACGAGAGTCTAAGGCGTGACGAGGGAACACGTTAACCCGAGGCTACAACCACCCACCCACCCTGTTAACAGGAGTTCATTATCAGAAAAGAACGGTTAACTCATTATGACGTTGTGTCTGCACAGCTAGGCCTTTTCTGATAGACTGTCAGTGAGATTGCCAGAGTTGACATGCATGGGTATCGACTGTGTGCCGCCTGATATCTGTACAACGGTACATGATATATGTCGATCAATTAAGAATAATCGCTTCTTTAATGTGATATGCTGATACGATATATCATATTGCACAAGTCATATGCCCTACAAGTCATAGGAAATAAGAAATACACACTTGCAAATAATCTAATGATAATCTTAGGATCACTTCACATGCGTATCCTGATAAATCCCAACTTCCATAAGACTTACTTAGAACATATGTATGTATTATATAGAGTTCACTGAGTGCCTTGATTTGCAGTTAAGTAGCATCCAAACCGTCACTAAAATGACTTTAATTCATTGCTCGAGGCTGAGTATTCTCTGGCACAGGCGATATGAATTTATGAATTCGTTTTATATCCTTAATAGTTGATGGAGGAATATCTGATTGGGGTATGTGGACCACGACGAGTCCTTGTACAGCGACTTGTGGCGAGAGAGAGACATCAGTTGTGACCAGGACAAGGAGCTGCTCCAGACCTCAGCCCAGATTCGGTGGAAGAGACTGTACAGAGACTCGATTTGAGGCCATGACGAGAAGTTGTAATCTGCCGATATGTCCAAGTACGTTTTCATTAATCATTATGACTTATTTCATTTAGTTGATAGATATGCCTTACTTTGGAGCAGAATGTAGAGTTAATTCTTGGTGGCAGCCTATGTGATATCGCAACTTAAGAAATAAACAACTAGTGGGAGTTGTTTTTAGTACAATAAAACACTGCTGGGAGAATAAAACATGAGGGGCGCAACCCCGAGTTCTTTATTCTCCCAGCAGTGTTTTATTGTATGATAAATAACTACCATGAGTCGTTTATGTCTTACATGAGACATCAACATCATGTGCTCTCACTCGCATCTTTAAGGATGAGAATATAGTTTTTACACAGAAGTTACCTGAGTTTAGACAAATGTAAATCAGCAGTTTAATGAGTTGCAACGAATTTGCAACGAACTCTTACAGTTTTATGCAAACTGTGTGAGTTTCGGGTGCTACCAGTAGAGCAGGACATAAGTGCCTGGAAGGACACAATAAATGGCCTACCACATTAAAACTATGTGGGGATAGTACGAGAGTCTAAGGCGTGACGAGGGAACACGTTAATCCGAGGCTACACCCACCCCTGTTAACAGGAGTTCATTATCAGAACGTCTGAGACCTGCATCACTTCGGGCTTTCCTCCCATATGAAGCTGACACGCCGTGATATAACTGGAATACTGTTAAAAGCGGTGTTAACCCAATCCACTCACTCACTCATTTTAGAAAAAAACATGTTTTTAACACGTTTCTGTTTTCAGATGATCCAGATATTCAGATGCTGATCAATAACATTGCAACCTACGTTGGCGCCAACATAACTTTGAGAGTTGTTCTGTCTGCGAATGCATCACAAGGCTTCTGGTTCAAGGACAACATCCCTGTAGTTGACAATGACCGAACTAGGTACTCTATGTCTGGGCTAAACCACGAACTGACAATCACTAATGTCACAGAATCGGATGCAGGGTCTTATGGTTACTTCATCAATAGGGACTTCATACAAGGCAATCTGACAGTGGAGAGTCAAGGTAGCTATCCCTGTATCACCGTATTTTGTACACGTGAGTAAATGATTAAAGGTAATGCACTGTAAGTGTCAATATTGCAGCTGTTTATGATCACAAATGCAGACTTCATTCAGTGGAATCTGATACATCAGCGACCGGTTAACTCGTGTGCTCCCACTCGAGATTTATACATAAAGCATACCTTAGGAATAGGTATCATGTTGTTACACAAGGTTACACATTCTCATCATTGCCTTACAGTTGATGGCAACTTCACCGAGTGGGGTGAATGGAGTAACACACCATGTGGTGTGACATGTGGACAGACAGCTACGAAGACAGTGACCAGACAAAGAACCTGCATCAACCCACCGTCTGGTGGAGCCAACTGTGTAGGACCTTCCCGCCAGACTACATCCGTGAACTGTGGCCTAGATCCGTGTCCTAGTGAGTATAATTCCATAATAAAACACATGTGTGCTTTTATACTCTCAGTAAATATAGTTGGATTTCTAAGTTTTTCGTAAAAGGTCGGGGGTCCTTTGTATAAATCAGTTGCGATGCATCACAAGCTTGCGAAGGGTATCAACACCGTTTTCCTATCAGGGTGAGCAGGAAAAACCGCAACCGCAACGTCTGTATCATTTAAACATCTAAGCCACCTGTAGCTTTCATTTGTCCTACATACAATGTTAAACAGAAAAAGGACGGCTGCGAGACATTAGAAAGGGACAATGTTCAACTGAATCATGGATAATTTAACTGACCATGTCTTATATTGTAAGAATATGATTTTGATAGCTATATTATCCCGATGCTTGTGAAAAATCGCAAGGACTCGTGAGAGGCGTTGGACATTATGTCACTTGATTCTATATTCGGAGCGATACAGATTTGATCAGCATTGAATACGGTTATTTGATCATGTCTCCAAATAATCGAAACTGCAAAATAACAAGTTTGCACTGTAAATCTTGTATCACTGATGCCTATTTCATCCTTGAAAGAAATTTCACAGATACTTCTTTCACTGTGCCTTTGTAATTATCCAGTAGCTTTGTTTCCTTGTTCTATGTTCCGGATTCCCATCAGCTGTCTTGTGAATTACAGTAAACTACGGTTATAACGAACTCAAGGGACGACTAATTTTAGTTCGTAATAACCGTAGTTCGTATTAAGCATATGTTGTTGGTTGGTTGGTTTGTTGTATAGCGCCGCACTCAACAATATTCCAGCTATATGACGGCGGTTTGTAAATAATGGAGTCTGGACCAGACCATCCAGTGATTGATATCATGAGCATTGATAAACGCAATTGGGATCGATGACATGCATCAACTAAGTCAGCAAGCCTGACCACCCGATCCTATTAGTCGCCTCTTACGACAAGCATAGTCGCCCTTTAGGCAAGTATGGGTTGCTGAAGACCTATTCTAACCCAGATCTTCACGGGTATAGAAGCATTTTATACAACATTTTTACAACAAATGGCCTGGACTCCATAAGTTCGTTATATCGGCCAGTTTGTTATAAGAGTGTATTTCCTGTTAATGGCTATGCAGGATCACAATATAACAGGGGAAAGGATGCGTATATTATATCAGCATAGTCAAAAGTCAAAAAGTGATGCAAGTAAAATGCCTCGCAAATTTCGAGAAAACATCCTTGAAGATATAATGACATTGGACATTTCTCTGTGTGCCGTGTAAGTAAAGGGTTGGTGAAATATTGTTAGGGCTTGTTATGTCCATAGTGTTTCCAAGATCACTGTTAAATCTAATTTGACATGAATGGATATACTGGGAAATGGAGGACATTTATGTACTGACAATAATTTGTTCTTAAGTAAGAAAATACATTTAAATAGAAACCTTCTGCCTGTTAGTAAGAAAGTTTAGGCTCTGCCTATTCAGGTAAACCTGTGATTTTTGTTCCCACCCTTGTAATTTAAACACTCCTTCTCAGGCGATGGACATGAGTACGATATGTAAAGACCATTTCTTGTGTCCCGGGTTGTGATACAGTTTGAATACTGCTCAAACTGTGAAGCACCTCATCGTGTGTGCTTACTAATCTAGTCATTCAAAAAGCGAATACAAGAAAAATGTGAAGTACAACGATTTCATTCACGCACTCGAACATGCTAGTTCATCAAAAATACTTATATAATTACATAGACTACTGTTCATGAATCGATGTAATTGTCTACAAAGACGTCTGTTTAGTGATGCCTTTTAAAAATTAGTGAGGGCTTAGTTTTGAAGAGATTGGTTAAGAATATTAATATTATTCCGAGTTCAGATGATTATAGCTATTGTTTTTCTTTCACGTATCTTATCACCTGGTAATACAATATCATGAGGAACCTAGTTAGGATTCTTAATAACACAACACGACAGTATATACTAATAGTATAATTCAGTATATCTCTCCGGCCACAACTCATCAATATATACTAACTAATGCCATCCACATTTTTGCGAAAGAAAATGTGTCATCATGATCATATTATAAATAATATCATACAATTTATCCCTTATAGCACAACGCGTCAGTATATGCTAAATAATATCATTTAGTACACCACATTTAAAATACACGTCAGTATATCATAAAAAAGTATCATCCAGCATATCGCTTATAACACAACACGTCAATATATACAGAATATTACTATCCAGCACACCCTTTCAACACAAAACGTCAATATACACTATATAATATCAAACAGAATATCACTTAAAAAACGCATCAGTATATACTAAATGATATTTATTGGGTAAATAATATCATCCATACTAAATAATATAATCAAGCATACGTCTTTTAACAACGCGTCGGTATATACTAAACAATACCGTCCGGCATATCGGTTACAACACAACGCGCCAGTACATCCTATATATTACCATTCTGTATTTCTCTTCTAACACAAAGGTTTTTCAGGTTGGAGGAAATCTTCATAGTAGTCTTATAAGGTCAAGAGTAAGATCACTGGGATGACCACTGGTCAAGAGGCATTTGGAATTGCGAACGAGGATCTATTTTTTGTGTTCGTAGTTCCTAATTAGGAATATGATGTCAGAGTGTATTACGCCTGTTAACCAGCAAGAGCTGGGTCGTTGGAGCTTGGAGTTGAGAGCCAAACTTATTTTGAAGCACTGAGAATAAAACGTTGTGGACCCTTGGACGGACGTGTGTTGTTATTGCCTACGTTTCAGGTCGAGCTGATATGTCTACTTCAGGTAGTGAGTTCCAATACCAGAATATGATAATTGTAGAAGAAAATCATAATTCATCACCTTTATTCCACAAATTGTAATTTTCTAATATTATTTTTAATGTTTGGTTTTTGCACTAATTGAATGTGATTTACTTGTAGCAGTGACTGGAGTGTGTGACAACGTGGTGATGCGATACGGTATAGGCTACCGCTACCATCCTACTGACTGCGATAAGTACATCCAGTGTTACTTCAACCCCAACGGCAGCGTCATCGGCATCCACAGAAGCTGCTCCTTCGGCTACTCATGGGATCAAGCAACGCTGAGATGTGTCGAAACATTGAAGGTCTCCTGTCCTATGGGTAGGCGTCTGTTGCTATTTCTTCTTGAATAATTCCCACATTTTTAACCCACACCAGGTCCATACACGTTAAATGCATCTTAGACCAAAAATGTGTGACTTCATAATGAAAAGGAAGAATTTAGATGCAAGCTATAATGATGTAATATCAGATGTGTACCACCACAAAAATAGTTTTGTATTTGTACGTTTTAGGCTCATTATGCATCGTATGTTTTTATGCATTGATATATAATGTATTTATAACATTCATATATCATTTATAGAGCGCAAAGATCTACTGATGTGTAAGACCAGGGTCGGATTCCCCATATACATTGGGTACAATGTCTGAAACCCAATTCTGGTGTCCCCCGCCGTGATATTGCAAGAATGTTGCAAAAAGCGCTGTAAAACCTCACTCAATCACCCACTCTATTGTAAGCCTACAGCACTATGCGCTTTGTTTATTCCTCTGTGGAAAAGTTTCCATGATAATATTTTTAATATTATTATATTATTATAGCAGCCCAGCAATGTGGAGCCATTTACAAGATGGAGGGCAACTGCAGATCCTATCGGAAGTATGAGAAGGGAAGGTTAGAGGCGAGGTGTTGTTCAGAGGGCTTCAGTTTCTCACCAACCGTAGGATGTCGTCCGAACTTCTACTGTGACGATGTCTGTCCCTCTCCATACTTCTCAAGAGGTAAGTTACAGCCCTGTAGTCGATCTGTTTGTGGGTGTACAATGACATGCTAGGCCCTTATCGTGAGAACCGTGTGATGAGGATAGGCTGTTTCACAGTGTGGCTGGGTTATTGTATGTGTCACCGGACGGTTTGGATTATTTGTTTCCTGTACTAACATGGCCTGACCAAGCCTCACAGTTCTACAAGCTGCCAAAATATAGTTAATATATTGCTGATTGTGACATATTTTTGTCCTAATAAAGGATATGTATCAGCTGAATAAAAAATGAATAGGGGTTTGCTTTTTTATAGCAATATTGAAGCCTTTGAAAGCGGGTTAGATCAGGTAGTTACAATGTGTTTTACAAAACCTGAATCTTAATGCACTCTAGCTACAAACAGAGCCCTGATGGTGGAAGTCATTATATAAACTGAGTAATTGGCATAACGCAACAATTGCTTGTAATATATTAATATGATATGAAACAAAATTCTACAATTTCACTCGTTTCATTTTTAGTTTTTAGATAAGCTTAAATGGTTGATTCACACATTAGACGGAATGGTGATTTAGAAGGCATATTTGAAGGACATGTACGCACGTGGACGGTATTTTTAATATGATAGGCGTTTCGATTGACTGTTGATTTAAAGTTTATGAGAGAGCCATTCTGTGGTAAGCTTGTTGTTTAATGTTTGACGCAACACTTAGCAATATTCCAGACAAATGGTCTGTAAATAATTGAGTCTGGATGGTATTCAGTGATAGATACCATGAGCATCGATTTGGATACGATGACATGCATCAACCACCCGAGCCTGACCACCCGATCCCGTTAGTCGCCTCTTACGACAAGCATATAGTCGCCTTTTACGGCAAATATGGGATGCTAAACCTATTCTTCACGGGTCTGTGGTAAGCTGGTGTTAAGAGAGATGAAATGTTGACATTTCCTTAAGGAAGCTTTGGTGGCGAATGGGTCAAGGGCATTTATCATAATAGAATGACAATTTAATAATCTGGCATGGATAATCGAGGGTGAGTCTGAAGATAAACACACGCCTTCTCAGTTATTGAAGGTAAGCAGCATTTAAGGACGCTCATACCTGTAGTCTTGTGTATATACATAACGTCAGTCGTGTCTTAGATTCTCAGCCAGGAATTCACTGGCAATTGTGAAAGTGCTTTTTGTAGAAGTAAAACTGAAGCAACTATAGGTCATTAAGCAAAATAGAGAGAATATATATATGAACAATAACATGGTTTCAGTAGGAGAATACCCGTGAAGATCCAGGATTGAATAGGAACTCTGCAACCTTTGTTTGTCGTAAAAAGCGACTATGCTTGTCGTAAGAGGTGACTAACGGGATCCGGTGGCAAGGCTTGCTGACGTTTATATGCGTGTCATGGATCCCAATTGCGTGTATCGATGTTCATGATATCAATCACTGCATTGCCTGTTCCAGACTAGATTATTTACCGATCGTCGTCATATAGCTGGAATGTTGCTGAGTGCAGCGTTAAACAACAAGCAAACAAAAGAAACTAAAGTCACAGAAATCACTGGAATGTGTTAATTTTGGAAGTAGAATCAACGGAATAGTCGCTGCACATTTAAATCGTGCAGCACACACTGTAGGGACATCGTTGCATGTCTTGGTTGTTCTTCTGTTGAAGATGTATGTGACAAGCATCCAGACTGGACCAGTCCACAATTCTACAACATCTCTGTTGGAGATTTCGGATGGAGTCGTACATCTTGTCCTCCAAAAAGTGCTTTCGACATCCTGGACTGTGGCTGCAGCATACGGAATACTGGTAGGTTATGTGGATGAGCGGTTGGGATTATAACACCGTTTTTAATGTACAGTAAACTACGGTTATAACGAACTCAAGGGGACCACTAATTTTAGTTCGTGGTAACCGTATTTTGTTATAAGCATAATATATACAACTCATATGAGCAAACGACCGGGACCAAAAAATAAGTTCGTTTTATCCAACAGTTCGTCATAACCGTGTTCGTTATAAACGAAGTATATTGAATAACTGTGTGTTATTTTAGCCACATTCCAGACACAACACGGTAGAGAAATACGCTTCAAATATTCCATTGATGTCAGGTATTAATCCTCGGTGGGACGAACCCGAACACATTGACCGCCAGGCAAAATAAAGCTCCTAAATGGAACATAGAATATTATTACCCTTCATTATAACCAGAAACAGGCTCTGTGTCTTCCTGTTAAGAATGAGTTGGCTGGCACCAGGATGTAAGGCATCGACATTGGCTGTGAAGGGTTGCGTCCCTCGGGCATTCCCGGATCCGATGATCGTTTGTTCGATACTTGGCTTGTCAGCAGTATCTATACATTACTGGGTTTAAAAAACAATCGGTAAACCAAGACGACTCGTGTCTCTTCAGGCTCACTTTCCACATTCAGCTGGCATTTGATATAACTGAGATACTGTTCAAAGCGACATTAAAATCACTCAATGTATGCACAGATCCTCTGCTTCGGATCACAATCTCCATCTATTCATAGTGAGCGAACACCCAAACTCCCCAACGCCGCTTTGGACAGTATGCATTGATATGGTATATGAGAGCAAATTTAAAGACAAAAGTCCAAAGGCAACGCAACCCAAACAATGAACTTAACATTATTTTTTCATTGTATAGGTATTATATTTTATGAATGAAAAAATAGTAATATGCCACAGAGTGGATGAGTGTTATATTTGTAGTTTATTAATCATATCTACTGAATATATACTGGATACTACAGTGTAGATGTCATTAGGGACCGACCATTTTATATTCTAGGGGGCGGGGGATATGGCCACTTTTTTATTATTCAACAAAACCAGATATTCTTTAATTAAAACTAGAAGCCTAATATGTTTTCACTCGCAACAAATGCTTGCATATCTTTCAGAGACCTGTGAAGCAAGATATGCGTGGGCCTTTGGTGCAGCAACCACTCCGTCATGGTTGACCATCCGAAACGTGACTACCCGTAACGACGTCGGCATCTTCAACATCAACAGCTCCGTCTTCCTGGACATAAAGATGACGACATCTAACCAACCGCTTGCAGTAAAGTTACGGTATCGGGAGAATGCTGGAGTAAACGACAGCAGAGTTTTGGTCAATTGTACAGACAAACTTGTTATCACGAGTAACAATGACGGAATACAATTCGCCATTACGAACAGATACGACATCGTCTCCAGGATTTTCATTTCCACAAATGTAAGTATGATAGAGGGAGTGAACACCGCAGCTGGTGACATTACATTTATACTGTTATCTTAACTGCCTGTATAACTGAAACTTGGTAGGCAAACAACGAGATGACAGCATAAGTAACGTTCCTTCAATTACTCAAGCACGACCTGTGTGGTCCAGGATAAGAAAGCTAACAAAAAGGTTCCCTCGGTTTAGTCTTGCTTCATCCTTCTATTCGATCGCAGCATAACTGCTCGGGTGTACGGATGTGTCCTTCAACGAAAGCGACCCGTGAAGATCCGGGTGGAATAGGTCTTCAGAAACCCATGCTTGCCGAAAAGCGACTTTGCTTGTCGTAAGAGGCGACTAACTGGATCGGGTGGTCAGGCTCGCTGACTTGGTTGATGCATGTCATCGATCCCAATTGCGTGGATCGAAGCTCATGATGTCAACCAATGGATTGTCTGGTCCAGACTCGATTATTTACAGACCACCGTCATATAGCTGGAATATTGTTGAGTGCGGCGTAAATCAACAATCCAACCAACCAACTAACCTTCTTCGCATAAGCATAGAAACCGATGGACTGTATGCATAAGGAGTATCAAATATGAATTTGAAACTTTTTAACTGATATCATCGTGAATTTGTTTTATACTTTAAAACCATGTTCGTGAGACATATTCAAACAAAATAACTTCCAGAGTGATAACACCACAGCAAACAATGTAATAATGTCCGAGTTCAGTCTTACAACTGTGCACAAAGAGAACATAGAATGTTAGTATTTAGTTTTTACGTACATTGCGATTGTTCCAATTTCAAGGGCACATATCGAACTGACTGGAAGACAGTCACAGCGTTGTACAAGGACAGGTACCTGATCGGCGTGGTGGAGACAGGCACTGTCAAATATATATCCCAAGTATATGGTAGGCGTCTTTATTGTAATCTTTATTATTTGATTGTTCTTTAAACCGCCTCAGTAATTATTTCTACCAATTTTTCCAAGCGTACAATGTCTTACAATTCATGATGTAATGAAGCCATTTTGGTAAATGTACCGTAAAAATGATTACCAATGGCCATAAAAACCTAAATTTGGTGTAGTCCGATCGGTACTTAAGTGAAAAATATCTACCATGCCCTATCTGTGGCTTGTAAATTGATGTAATGTTTGTATATGTGACATTAATATTTCACTATGTATTGGATAAGCTAACTTACTCAACACAGGTACTTAGTAACATTTACCATGACCTATCTGTGGCTTGTAAATTGATGTAATGTTTGTATATGTGACATTAATATTTCACCATTTATTGGATAAGTTAACTTACTCACCACAGTAACATTTACCATGCCCTATCTGTGGCTTGTAAATTGATGTAATGTTTGTATATGTGACATTAATATTTCCCTATGTATTGGATAAGCTAACTTACTCAACACAGGTACTTAGTAACATTTACCATGCCCTATCTGTGGCTTGTAAATTGATGTAATGTTTGTATATGTGACATTAATATTTCACTATGTATTGGATAAGCTAACTTACTCAACACAGGTACTTAGTAACATTTACCATGCCCTATCTGTGGCTTGTAAATTGATGTAATGTTTGTATATGTGACATTAATATTTCACTATGTATTGGATAAGCTAACTTACTCAACACAGGTACTTAGTAACATTTACCATGCCCTATCTGTGGCTTGTAAATTGATGTAATGTTTGTATATGTGACATTAATATTTCACTATGTATTGGATAAGCTAACTTACTCAACACAGGTACTTAGTAACATTTACCATGACCTATCTGTGGCTTGTAAATTGATGTAATGTTTGTATATGTGACATTAATATTTCACTATCTATTGGATAAGCTAACTTACTCAACACAGGTACTTAGTAACATTTACCATGACCTATCTGTGGCTTGTAAATTGATGTAATGTTTGTATATGTGACATTAATATTTCACTATGTATTGGATAAGCTAACTTACTCAACACAGGTACTTAGTAACATTTACCATGACCTATCTGTGGCTTGTAAATTGATGTAATGTTTGTATATGTGACATTAATATTTCACTATGTATTGGATAAGCTAACTTACTCAACACAGGTACTTAGTAACATTTACCATGACCTATCTGTGGCTTGTAAATTGATGTAATGTTTGTATATGTGACATTAATATTTCACTATGTATTGGATAAGCTAACTTACTCATCACTTATATACACCCCATACTGTTTCAGCTAAAGATGTAAACATCCTGACGAACGGAGTGCAACTCGGTTCTGATGCATCTTCTGATCAAAAGACAGCCTTCCTTGGTGACATAGACAAGGTAGGTCACACAAGCAGCGTGACAGATTCTTCCATAATAGGATACATAGTTCGTTCGTCTAAGGCACCGCAATTCGCTAGGCAGGGTTGCCAGAAAACCCAAATTGTGGGTTGGAATCCCCGTTCGACCCGATTGTGATTCAAGGTTTGTCAGCGCCAAACCCGTCCTCGTAGGTTTCACCATAGTATACGTAGTAAGTCTGAAACCAGCATATCTTCGGACTTTCTTCCCACATTGAGCTGGCATGCCGTGATATGACTGGAATGCCGTTAAACCAAACTCACTCACTTGTACATGGTAGGAATTACTGGAATGTCAATAAGAACGCCAGATACATACACATCATATACAATAGGTCGAATGAGTAAAACAGGTAAAGACGATTTATTCTTATTCCGCTAAATTCTAATCAAATTCGTCAATTAATCATTATATGTACCAGTGTTTTACAAAATATCAGAACAGTAAACATCAAATGTCAACAGTAAATATCTACAAGATTGCATGCATATTCGGAAATTGACGTTTATTATAGCTTTATTCCAGTTAACTCTCAAGAAAACGTATCATGGAAAGCGTAAAGCTGTGATCTCTGACTTATCTTATTCTCTTCCTTCAGATGTCCGTCTTCGATTGTGACCCAGGCATCACCTTCTGAGGGTAAAATACCAGAAAAAAGGATGTTAATATAATCTGCATTGGCACGAACGATGTTGACGCTATTGTCTGTCTATTTTTCTTAAAATTAACTGCCGGCCAATGAACGTTTACACATGAAAATTGGACTTGACAAAAACATTACAAACGTTTTTAAAATATTACGAGGATGAAAACAGTCGCCGAAACACTGCAAACTTAAGGTCCAAAACATAACTATGATTTCCTGTATCAAATACCATTTCATTTCATTTTTGTCATTTTTAGGCACCATCAAACAAGGGTGTATAGGTTCTTTTGCCCGGTAGTAAATGTTAGGGTTACTTTCGCCATACAATTTGCATATTGTTGGAAACCATTAATGATCTGTTTGTAAGTGATTGTTTCATTGCACTAAGATGGCAATGCGTAGTAATGCATACAACAAGTATAATACCAATACAATTCATATTTACATCACACTACGTCCCGGCTTAGGTATTAAAATATATCTTGATTGTGTAAACTGTGCACAAGAGAACCAGACACAGACAATGTCTACACGGATTGACCAACCTTACAAGCTTATTGTAGAAGTAGCATACTGAAAGGCACCAATAATCTTATTCTGAAAGGGCCCAGGGTGTCACAACCTCAGCAGTACGTCTGTCGAAGTCTGTGTTAAGGTATGGGAGTTACAGTCATCTTAGCGCCAAGATCACTTTGTATTACAACATGCCTACAAATAGGATAAGCGCTAAGACGATCGTAACATGAAGTAATTTATATTTTGAGACTTAAGACAGTCGTACCGCTAAGGTCGTCTTATACCTGAAAGTAGTAAAGTCAATTACATTCAAGCACGATGGAGGCTACATATAGGAGATGATAACCCTTTCATGAACACCTGTTTTATGAGGTGAAATGAAAAAAATAGAATTCGTTTTTTTATAAATCGTCGCTTCCTTTTCGTTTTTATGCATACTTATGTCCAATTATGTCTGACGCCTTTTCGTATTATCATCTCATGTATGCTGCATGCTCATCAATTTATGTTATGCTATGCTAACTGATAGTCCGAAAGTTGGAACCTTCATTATTTCTTTGTGCCATTCCATTTAATTGCGTAATATACGATGCAACGGACCAATAGAGGACAATGCGAAGCTCGAGCAATCAACAAGGAACAAATGAACATTATTATTTGATTGTCTGTCCTATCATTTTTGTATCGAATAATAAAATATTTTCTCAATGGTTCTACTTATTCATTTCTCAACGAATACTTTTAGAATGGCCCATATTCTATTTTGGGTGTGCCTTATTCATTACCTAGCGGTTCGTTTGTATAATTTAAGGAAAAGAGTAATACGAGTAAACTCGCATTCGCGATTATACACCGTACCGTATATCTGTTCTGTTATAAATATGCTGAATAAATCGCCAATCGCTTCCATTTAAACATTGCTTAATTTGGGAAGTAACATGACAAGCGCACTGTCACTCGAAAACCTCCACTATGAGTTTATTTTGATAAGAATCGGACGTTTTGTTTGTTTGTTGTTTAATGCCGCGCTCAGCTACATGTATATGACGGTGGTCAGTATGGAGCCCGTATAATGAAAATATTTCATTGTTTTTGTTTGTTGTTTAACGCCGCACTCAGCATTATTCCAGCTATATGATCATGACGGTGGTCTGTAAATAATCGAGTCTGGACCAGACTATCCGGTTACTGACATCGTGACCATCGATCCATGCAAATGTGATACGATGACATGCATCAACCAAGTCAGCGAGCTGGATGGATGCTGAAGATCAACTCATACCCGGATCTTCACGGGTGGACGTTAGCCAGCGAATGGGTTACGTTTTCTATGATAATGGAATGCATATATACACCTCGTCATTAATATCGCACCACATTTTAAAGTAAAAGTAGAAAATATAATTTTCGGTTTTTTAAACTACAAGTACAAATTTCATATACTACACCATCTGTGAACATAATATCACAAACACACCCTTTTCCGAGCTGCACGCGCATGCTTGCGTTGAGCATGCTTGTACCGGGGGTCGGTTTGCTAAAAATGCAGAATGCACATAGCCTCTTTTGGCGTATGTTATGTTGGCAGACACAGCTAAAATTTGGTTTTAGGCATAAATTAAGCTTTATTTTGACCAACCAGTGAAATGCCCAAGCGTCCGGTGCTTCTGAACCAAAGATGGCAAATTATTGGCATGAACCAGACTGGTATGTCATGTCGTGCTATTGGACCACAACTGTACATTAATCACACTGCCATCAGCAAGCTAATACGTAAGCATACTGGTTCCGGTGAAGTAAAGGATGCCTGAGTTCTGGACGTCCGAGAAAAACCAATGACAGGGAAGATCGTGCTCTCGTACGCCAAGCCGGACGAAGCCCAAAGTCTACTTGTACACAGCTACGACATGGATGACATCCATACAACAGAGTGTCCATCAGCACCATCAGACGACGCCTAAATTCTGCAGGATTGAGAGCAAGACGGCTGTTGTGCCTCATTTCGATAACCATGCTCTCGCCACACGTCCAGTCTTCATGGACGATAATGCCAGACCACATCGTGCTCGAGCTGTTGTTCAGCATCTCCAACACAACGCCAGTGAGACACTACCCTGGCCTGCCAGAAGTACAGACATTAATCCTATTTAGCATTTGTGGGACATTTTGGGACGTAGGGTGAGAGCAAGGGATCCTCCAGTTCAGAACCTTCAGGAATTGACCCATGCATTGCATGATGAGTGGCAGCAGATCCCCCAACAGAGATTCAGACGTCTGGTGTCAAGCATGAGACGGCGTGTAGAACATGTTATCCAAGTACGAGGCGGTTACACCAGATACTGAGTTAGCCAGTCATTGTGGACCTTACTAGTATGTTCGACATTAATGAAATGTGAACTGTGTTGTGTGTGTGTTGTAACGACTCCGGCAGCCATGTTTATTTCACCTAATTTCACGGTGATTTTAGTGAACTTTAGTTGCTACTATTTAACCCTCAATTAGTGTTCAAATTCGCTCTTGTGTTGTCAATTTTCTGGCTGAACGGTCACATGAGGCCATATAAACAGTTTAATATGCTTTTCTAAGCACCATTTTTATGGGGTTGAAGATCCAGTTTTACCTAGTGAAAAAAGTGGGTGGTGCGATATTTATGACGAGGTGTATATATTCGTTTGCCAAGCAAGGCTATGACGATGAAGGTGGTCCTAGAAGCGTTCATGACAGGGGAGCAAGCTGCTCAAGCCAAAACGTTGACGTATTGCTGTAGAAAGTGACAGACACTACGTGCAGTTTGTAGAATTTCTGTGTTGTCATGTTCAAACAAGATCAATGGGTTCTGTTGAAGGTAGTGAAGAACAACTGGAAGCTTGAGCAATGTTTCGCCGGTGTCACGTTGCGCAGTGAGATGTACATGTACGTTCAACATCACAGTTCCGTTTGTAATTTCTTCAAGTTTGTTGTGAACATGTATTCATCACTGTGTGCTTGTGTGAGAACTGATTCTGGCTTATTACCTTACTTCAAATGTAACATTGGCACATTGGGTGTATCCTGTGTCCCTAAATCTTCAAAACTTTCGTCAACCAACTTGCTATAATGTTTGAGGGTGAAGGTGGGAGAGTGTTTTATATATCTCCTCACATGCCTTATGTGTTTTCATTATCAGTTGCTGATGAAATCTCATCTGTACCTACAGCTTCAAAAGAAAATTTATGGTTTGGGACGTTTTTGTGCAGCAACCGGAATGACAGTAAATCCCAACAAAACTGACATAAAATTATGGTATTCAGAAAAGAAATAACTTCTGAAAAGAGAAGAAATAGAAGTTGTCAACTTGTACTTTCACCTCAGTTGTCATGGACAAAGGCTCAAGCATGTTTAGCAGCACAAGCGAGAAAAGCAGTATTCTCAATTAACAACTATCAGAAACATTTTGGATATCTTAGTCAAAATGATCTTTTTAACATTTCTGATGCTCTGATCACACCTATTCTGTGCTATTGATCTGAGATATGTGGAACCGCTTACTGTAACATCATCGAGAGTGTGCACAGGGAATTCTGTAAATAATTTCTGAGAGTAAACAAGCATACTAATACGAATATTGTCCTGGGAGAGTGTGGCAGTGTATCCATGCAAAATCATTGTACATCCAGGGCAGTTAAGTACTGGTGCACACTGATCCAGTTACCACAGCATAGACTTCACCAACAAGCATTTAAAATAATTAAAACTCTTGATGATAATGGTTAAAATACTTGGGCATATCATATATAAGAAATATTTTACAGAGATATGGTTTTGGAATTACTCGTATATGACTGTCTCAAGACATTGGTTGCATCTCATCATTTATGGCAATTTTATGACTGCTTCTTTCAATATTGACATCACTCCCTCGACGCTTCATCTGAATGTAATTATTATTCTCAGTTTAAATCTTTACTAAATTTGCAAACCTTTTTAACTTGTGATCTTCTCCCCTGTCAAGGGAAAATATTAACCATGTTTCGGTGCAATAAACTTCAGACTTGCTGTTGAATGTGACCGCCATACAAAGACTACATATACCGAACGTTTCCGTTTATTTCTTCCATGCCAGAGTCTTGGGTCATGTTGAGGATGAACTACAAGTATTGTTGTTATGTGACAGCTATTCCCATTCGATAATGAATGCTTCGCTAACCATCTCAAAAGTCCACTAATAACTGGAACCATTTTTAGACTTATGTCAACTGACAATATCCATACCATTAAATTTCTTTGTCAATTGCAAGTACTAAAGAAGCAACCACCTTACCCCGTAACACAAATTGTACTTTCCTCCAGCCTTTTATTCAGCATGAACATTTAATTATTTTATCCATCTTGTTTGTATAAAGTCTGCCTGACTGACTTTCCGCCTGTTCCTGACAACAAATTTAAAACCGGCCCAAATCTTCGTACTGTCTCCAACGAGCACGAGCCGTGTGTTCTTCCGCTGATACACACGTGATCTCATGAGAAAACAGGACTCTCTGTGAGTTCCTGTGCTGAGATGTGGTACAGTGAGCGCCCCCGATTCTTTGGCGTGTGAACGTGATCCCCTAAGATTGTCCCAACCGAGAAGAGAATGTTTCGCTAATCATCTCATCAATCAACCAATAACTGAAACCTTCATTAAGACTTCGTATGTTAACCGACAATGTATGTATATTAAAGTCTGCACCTTGCCTGTTGCATACTTACGATTGGTTTTACATGATTTGGGAACAGGACATGCTTCCCCTTTTCGCGAATACCTGGTGGCATCACACATTTCAGTTATCCATTCATACGCATACGGAATCTTTTTTGTCGGATAATCGAGACTGGTTATTCTCTGGGGTTGACGTTTTATGTAACTGATAAAGTAATAGCATGTTCGTATATATTGACAACTTAAACCACGCCCAAATAGTTTTCCTTGACGACCCGGTGCCTTATGTGTATGTACACCTCTGCCTAGAAGTTCTTTCCCCTTACGCGCATGGGCAACGCGTGACGCAACACGTGTGCAACCCGTTGATCACTCGTTTGGAACCGTCCGCCACGCCTCAGACACCCGCGTGCTAAGCGTTGAACACGTCTATGCACCCTGTTCGCCAGTCATGTGCAACGCGTGACACACTCATTACAGAGGGAACAACCTTTTGACCAAAGGAGGGTCGTTGTTAAGCATAAGTTGGAAGTAGTAACAAGGAGAGAATTTTTTGTTATCCTCACAAGAAATGTTGAAACACAATTTATAATATGTACATGTACTAACTGATGTCTCCTTTTCAGATGTGATTTTGTAGGAAAATTTTAGTACCGTTGTGCCTATTTATAAGATCATTGGCTTCTACATGATCTTTTGCGATGGTGTTAAGAGAATACATAACACTGGAAAATGTTATTGTCATTTAAAAGGTTGTGTGATTGAACATTAAACGTCTGAAGTACGACTTCCAGTGATTATATTTATGAGGTTTGGTAGAGCATTTTTTTATTGGACCCAAATTACTTTATGATGGTTGGGTCTCTTTGTCGCAGCTCGGTGACGCTGAGACAGAGCAGCACTAACTTAATGAAAGTAGGTTATATCATGGAGGATACATCTGAGGGAGAGGGTTCAACTAATTGCCATACCGCAGGAAGAGACCTGTATGGCCACCAGTAAAGGTAAACATTGAGCTTTGACTGTTAAA